CTTTTGGGACCAGTGAAGATTCCGGGGTAGAATAGGTCTTCAGCAACCTATGCTTGCCGTAAAAGGTGACTATGCTTGTCGTAAAAGGCGACTAACGGGATCGGGTGGTCAGGCTCGCTGACTTGGTTGATGCATGTCATCGATCCCAATTGCGTGGATCGATGCTCATGATATTAATCACTGGATTGTTTGGTCCAGACTAGATTATTTACAGACAGCCGTCATATAGCTGGAATATTGCTGAGTGCAGCGTTAAACAACAAACCAACAACCTAACTTTTGGCGGTGGACGCATCTATCTAGGTGGGAAGCACAGACTGACGTATTAATACGTCCAACATTATACTCACGTAGTTCTGTTGCGTGGGAGATGCTGAAAGGTCATTTCCAAATTGAAACGCAAAGGTTTACCCAGAAACTGTTACATACACTCTTCAAAAAAGATTTTGAACAAGTGTGAAAACAATGCCGTTTAAAACATTGCAAATCGACAATGGATGCGTTTTGACGCACCGTTTGTCGAATATCAGGCCGCCTACATTTTTCAATAACATATATCCAATTTATATACCGGATTTTGTGTGTAGTCAGGTTCAATGAACTACATACTACCTGACACGTGAAGATCCGGGGTAGAATAGGTCTTCAGCAACCCATGCTTGCCGTAAAAGGCGACTATGCTTGCCGTAAGAGGCGACTAGCGGGATCGGGAGGTCAGGCTCGCTGCCTTGGTTGAAGTATGCCATCGATCCCATCTGCTTGGATCGATGCTCAATCACTGGATTGTCTGGTCCTGACTCGGTCATTTACAGACCGCCGTCATATAGCTGGAATATTGCTGAGTGCGGCGCAAAACAAAGAACCAAACCAAAACATACTACCTGTGCGTTTCTTTTTGAATAGCCAGTGAATTATACTGAACCACGCAGTAGTAGATTTACTATAAAAACCGGTAACAGCAGCCCTTCAACATATGTCCGGGGGCACGGGTGGCCCAGTCGTCTAAGGCGCCGCGATTCGCTGTGCAGAGCTGCGTCCCTTGGGCACGCCAGAAACCTATGATTGTGGGTTCGAATCCCGGTTCGCCCCAATTATGTTTCTAGGTTTGTCAGCACCATACCCGTGCTCGTGGGTTTCACCGAAGTGGTAAACGTCTGAGACCTGCATCACTTCGGGCTTTCCTCCCACATTAAGCTGACACGCCGCGATATAACTGGAATATTGTTAAAAAGCGGCGTTAAACCCATCTCACTCACTCACTCACATTCAACATATGTCAGTGCTTTCACGAATGTCCATAATTATTCCCCGTCCAATGTCTTGAACCAAGCCTGTCTCTGTTCCTGAATCCGGAGAAGTGTTGGAGTCTGTTTTCAGATAGGTATCATGTCCGTACTTGGCATGCGATGTACGCCTAGGCCTAAAAGGCCGAAACTTGTCAAACGATCGAAGCTGTCGTGTTTATAAACAACCAGGGGACTCTAATCACGCTTCCTGTTCAAAACTGGCTGCTACAGCACTCGATATTTTACCAGCTCTTCAACCATTTGCTGCCAGTGAAAAACCCTCCAAATAAACTTACAACAATCTCGACTGCCACGTGACAATGAACAAAACAAATGGAGGCGACAAACCCACCAACATTTCCTGTGTAAGTGAGTAAGCCTTTATCTGCTAAATTGATCTATACACCATGAAACAAGACAAGACATTTGGACGACTCAGATAGAAGTGCTGGAACTGTCATTTATCATGCGTCAATAGTCAACCACACTGAAACACTTTTCCAGCACAGCATTCTCTTTCTTCTGTATTTGTCATTGTTGCGTCACTAAATAGTTGAACAACCTGTCCAAAACTCCGTTACCCAAAAGTGTGTGGGTGTGCGTACTTGTAAAATGTAACAAACGTACGTGTGCGTGCGTGCGTGCGTGCGTGCGTGCGTGCGTGCGTGCGTGCGTGTGTTAGAGGAGGGAATGTTTTCACAGAACTGAGTCTTCAACTGCCGAATGCTTTGTGGCCGAGGGGGGACATCGCTTTCTCGCCTTCAATTACGAAAGCGATTCTCGTCTCGTGCTGTCGCTTTCTCGTCTCGTATCGCTTTCTCGTCTCGTTTTACAGCTTTATCGCGGTCATAACTGAAGGCGAGAAAGCGATGTCCCCTCTCGGCCTGCATAGGAATGTGTATTGTGTGAAACTGTTACCTCGCACGGTAGGGTTGCGACGGGTACTCGAGTCCAATTTTCAGGACTCGAGTACCCGTTTAGGGGAGATAGTTATGCAATCATCATGAATTAAGTCCGTTCTCAGTAGTCTAGATCTGATACTTACCAGATCTGATTTAGTACTTTCCATGAGACAGGCGTACAATGAGAAAGTCCATGTTGTGGTGATAAGAACTCACAAATGACATTCCACAAGTGTTAGTTAAAATTCGTTTGATAACTTTTCATGATCACTGATTTTTTTATTTTTGTTCGGTTAAAAAACAAATTAGGTTGTTCAAAGTTGCAAGTTTTGCTCTTTATGCTTCAGCGTGATAAAAAAAACAGAAAAGTTGTTCTGTTGGACTATTTCAACATAAAACTAGTTTTCAATAATTTGCTGATCTGTTCAATAAAAATGTGAAATCTAATGTTACTTGTGTTTGTCATTATTGTCGAAATCATTTTACGAAATACTGAAATAGTGCAATGTTACAAATTACAATACAAGCCTAGATCACTCAGACACATATCGATTTATTACCCATGTCACGACTCACGTGTCAGGCAGTCATGTGATCTTGCCGTTTCCCGCTCACGCCTGTTTTGGTGACAGTGCTCAATGACTGGCGCCAGATTACTTTGATATTCTGCGTCACTTGAGGTTTTAGGTACGCCGTGCAGGCATTTAATAAAAAACATAAAACCTTAGAACAGATTAATAGATGTTTGATGACCTTTTATTCGCAAAAGCATTACAAACAAGTGGGACAACATTGAACTACGGGTACTCGAGTCCGGTTCGGGTATTGTCTGCCGGGTATTCGAGTTCAGTTTTCGTACCCGGTCGCAACCCTATCGTACGGGACGCACCGGTGTCCCAAACGTCGGAGGTGCCGCATTTCGTTGTGCAGAGTTGTGGCCCCTAGCCGACCCGAATCACATGAGGTGGGTTCGATTCTCACATTCACCTTGATTGTGATCCTCGGTTTGTCAGGGCCATACCCTGCTCGTGCGTTCACTAAAGTAATAAACCCGTGAAGATTCGGGTTACAATTGGTCTTCAGCAACCCATGCTTGTGTAAGAGGCGACAAACGGGATCGGGGGGTCAGACTTGCTTGTTATCGTATCCCAAATGCTCATGATGTCAGTGGATTGTCTTGTCCAGACGCGATCATTTAAACAACCGTCATATAGCTAGAATATTGCTGAGTGTGACGTTAAACAAAACAAAAACAAAAATAAAGTTATAAATGTCAAAGACTTCCATCACTTCAGACGTTCAACCTTCTACGCCGCGATACCACTGACATGCTGTTCAAAACCGACCAGCTCGCGTGAGTAAACTTAACGCCTAGGTAGGAGAAGGTGTCTCGGGATGATGGAAGCTCACTGTCAATAGAAAATAACATCTTGTCATCGGAAGTTGTCATCGGCGACCAAAATGACGTCGTCGCCACTCGGTAGGATGTCATCTTGATGTCACCTAAAGTATGTGGATGACAACTGGTACACGAGAACAAGGTATTTACTTTAAGGTTGGGTCAAGTCCAGGCTTTGATATCCAGATACAGTTCACCTGCATAAACACCTCCCGTCCCATCTTCCAACCTACCTGTTGAATCGGGGAATGGGTGGCCCATTCAGCAATTCTCTGTGCAGAGTTGCGTCCCTTAGGCATGCTAAAAAATATGATCGTGATTTGGAAACCAATAGTCGTCCTGATAATGTTCGTAGGTTTGTCAGCACCATACCCGTGTTCGTGTTCACCAAAGTGCTTCACCCCGGGCTGAAATACTGTTCAAAACAACGTCACAAAACAACACAATATGATGGAGATTGTATTCACATAATCATGCAAAACATAACCATGACTAATAATTTCTTACTCGTGCAAATGTCCTTCCGCTAGTCTCTCGTACAGACCCTGAAACAAATATATCCAATAGAGCCCAAGCAAGACTATAATGTTTAGCAAGTCTAGATTACTGCAGTATCGGGAATGAAGAAAGTCTCTGGGCCCCTTTTTATAATATTTCATAACTATAATTTAAGAACTGGATATTTTTATGTAAAACATGTTCATTTCAGAGTCTACATGTTAGTCTATCCTTCTGCGTCACCGCGGGTCAAATTCATAAACGAATAATTGAATTGTGAGAAGGTGTTTCTGGTTGTTTCCATTTAAAATAAATTACTATTTTGTCAGTTTCCGAAGATGGTATGATGGTATGCCCATGTATGTCTACACGCTGAAGTTTCAGAAAATAATTATGCTACGTCTGCAGATTTTGTTCAATACATTTATAGACATAAGATAAATATTTACACACACTCACACGTTCTTTGACGAACCGTAAATAAATTATGGCCATTATGTTGTTACAAGATATTTGTATATTTTCAAATTAAGACAAAGCTTGGGTATTTCAATGTGAAAATTATTTGATTAAAGATAAATTCGCTGGTATTCGAACCTATGGTTCTTTACTCGCAGCAATTCAATGAACCTTAGGACAGGTGCTCGTGGAGTTATCTCTCTTTGAGATATAAATTGCCGATGATGGCGCTGCCTAAATATTGTGATACGCAATTTGTGATGACGTATTGTACAGATTCAGGGGAACACTGACCCTTTATTCGTCTGTCAAAATTGTCCACCTAAACCATCATAGTGGAGGCCACGGTGGGTCAAGTATTGCAGCTATATTATTCAGTGATTTTGTAATCAGAAAATACTTAAATATATTCTAGCCATCACGATGTTATTGCGCCAAAGGCCGTGACAAGTGAGCATTTCTGCCGCCATGTTCCCGTTCCAATGTTTTCGTTGAGCAAGCTCAGATATTTAGGAGAGCATTGTGTTTACATCAATCGAACTTGGCATCTTATCTGATGATATTGACAGATATTCTCCAATATGCAGCTCAGCTGATACATTTACAGGCGATAGTATTGCGTTGTAAAGCAAAGGTAAACAAAGTGTCAATAGGAAAACCTAGCATCCTATTCCTGAACTATGTTTTCGTGACTCATTTGTGATTAGCGCATATGATTTTATTCAGATCTGATCAATTATTTCACATTTCTTTTTAATCTTCCTGTACACACATATAGTATATCTGTCAGTGATACGTTTGGTGTAGAAACGGAGCTGATAGTTGTATCGGTGTTGTGATCGACAGAAAGTAGTTTGAGATCAATATGATCTACGTGAGAATAACTTACCTTTTCAGTTCCTTATTTTAGTCTGTGTCATAATCTTTATGACATAACAATTTTCTTAATCCTTTTCAATCTACATGCATGTGTAATGAAGTCTCCTGATAGGAAATTGAAGGTAAGGTATTATATGTTACCTCTACACTTCTGCTGGTCTGAGAAATTGTAAGTGCAGACTTCTTGCTCTATGGTCCGAGTTCATACATCTCTGTTGTTTGGATGTTTGATCCCACATAATACCTCTGGGGACCGTATTTTACAAAGTCAAAATAATGTTTTGCTGTCACGCCTCTTGGCTTGTGATAAGAGAGAATAGTCCTACTAACATGACTACTAGGGAAGATGTGTGGACAGGTTCTGATATCATAGATATGGTAAGATATAGGGCTGGGACTAATAACCAACTGTGCGATCCGATACATATCACGAAACCAGCATGAGCTCTTATATCTGGTGGGTAACCATCTTTTCATAGACAAGATGGCCAAAAACCTGGCACTCTGATAATTTCCTGCTGGGTGTGTCAAGTATTGCACAATGGATGAAAATATTTACATTTTCCCCACTAATTCATGTTTGGTGTAACAGTTATAAAAGTACACGTTTAAAGTAAGAATGGATATTTTATACTTATTATGTGAGTGTGATCAATACTTGTATCGAGAAGTAAAAAAATCACGATCCATATTATGATGATTAAGGCATTATCTTCAGGATATGGAGCTAGAATAATAAGTTGATGCTGAATGTGAAATGGGAGGTTCTGTCTTTTAACAAAATTCCTGAACAAGGGAGATAGTTCTATGGATATACAACTAATTTATTAAAACATGGATGCAACATATCAGTGTAGATACTATAACTGTTTAATAAAGAAGTTTTATGTCCATAGAACTCTCTCCCTTGTTCATCCTTACAACTTCGAAATGTCACTTAAAGAATTAGAACTGCTGTAATCTAATCATTACTAATTATGGAAAGTAATGTAAAGTTGATTATTACTCATTTAACAAGCATGAAATAACTAAAAAAACTATGTAAAGCAGCTTTAAACGTAACTTAAAATCTGAACGAAAAGTATTCAAACTACTGCTTGATATCTATAGATGACAAACACTTATGATCCTTTACTAGTAAATATCACATACTTCTGTAATATTTTACCTCCTTTTGAGTTATCCAAAAGTTGTATCTTAATGCATAAAGTTGTATCCACAAGTTGTATTGTATCTGCACCTATGTATAACCATACCAAAATACCAACCTTGATATTTAACAGGTTTGTTAACCATCATTGGTCGATTTGTGTTGAAGGGGTACTAGTAACAGTTTGAAAATCTGAAGCAGCCGTAAATAATTTGAATTTCATATATTCATGCTGTCATTAGCATTATTAGTCCACACATGACTTAAGCAAATATAGAATTATTCTTTTATGAGGCTTAAATAGATACCATGTTTAACGAATATCAGGCCTTAGTTTCTAAATGCTGGCTTTGTCTGCCATGCCGTTTGGAGGTGGAAGTAAATCTTGTGGTGTTTCTGCACTGTTTATCATGTGATGCACATTGTGATAACTGTCTACAAAGTTGCTCTATCTACGCTGAATGCTGTGGTTGTTGTCATGATTATCAAGTAATCATGATTAATATGAAAGCATTTGTACATTACTGCACTTCTCTTTCCCATCAATATTTAGTTGTACCATAATTATTTGCTATTTTGCTTTGTAGTGCTTCTTCATGATGTCAATTGGTTTCTGTTTTGAGCTCATCTTGACATCGTCAGTGTGAGGTTTTGCCTTGGGTTCATGCCCGTCATCCATCGGCCGTCAGTTTGCAAAGATTAGCACTGCACTGAAAACAAACCAGCCCATGTTCAATATGTCCCTGCCTACAACCATGGCAACAAAATTGGGTTTTTAATTTATAGATACTTCTATTTTTCAAAGAATACCTACTTTATGCTAAACTTTTGTCTCAGTACATCTTACATATTTTACTTCTGACATATTGTTTTAATGAAATCGACGGCCTCCGTGGTCTAGTGGTAGAGTGTCAGCCCGGAGAGCAGCAGGTCGAGGGTTCGATCCCCAGCCGCCTCATTCCAAAAGACGTTAAAAGATGGTACTTGTTACCCTGTCTGGCACTCTGCATTAAGGGGCTAAAACAAGGACTGGACGGCTCAGAGTCAGTATACTGTGTCCGAGTGCGGCATGGTATCTCAGTGAGCTAGCACTATTAATTGGCATTAGTCCGGACAAGTACAAGCAGCCACACACACACACACACTTGTGCTTGCACATCGCTATATAAGTGCAATAATCTTGGATACGACATGAAACCCAATTTCACCTCACCTCACCTTTAATGAAATCAGATGTGGGTTAATGTTTAGTTTAGCTTTTCTTTTTAACAAATTCTAAACATGCTAAATGGCATCTTGTATTTATGATATTAAAACTTTCATTTGTGCAGAAGTCAGTCTACATGATCTAATAACACTAATATCATTATTCATCTTCTGTTCAATCAGTTTATTGTGTGTTAAAGTTCATCACTCACTTGAACATGATCATTTCAACACATTGACGCCAAGGGTGAGCTGCTCTGTCTTTGGTATTCTGATTATTTATTAGTATAGTTGATTCTGGTTCTGATATATTATGATTTCTTATATTGTACAAAATAGTGAAAGAAATACTTGCGAACAGTTGAAGGCTTACTAGAAAACTCTTGGCTGATGAATATGTTTGTCACACACTGACGATATACCGGTATATTCAGTTTAGTATGAGACATCATGCATGTGAAGTGTACCATATACTATAGACAATAAGAATACAATACCATGGATCTATACTGTCATTTGTTTAATAAGTGTGTATCCTTTTTATTAGTAATTTTGCATTTGCAAAATATCACAAAGTAAATGTGATGTAAAATGTAACAGTCAATACAAAATTATCCAAATATGATGCAGAGCATGGAGTCCCAAGGCTGACACATGCAAGCCATAGCGGCCATGTCATTTCTAGGGTATAAACTTAGAGACCATTGCTGGTTGTTTATGAAATTTGTTTGTTAGAATTTATTATGGTTGTATTTCTTTGAAGTTTACTTTGTTTGTTTTGCTGGTAATGTAATATTGTAAGATAAATGAACCTCCTGATCATAAGGAAATACATTCTGTAAGCATGATCTACAAATCTGTTTATATTACTTGAATTGGGTTGGGCCTGTTATTTCCTGCTATGCATGTCTTGAAGTTTGTTATTGTGCTGACCTAGGACTGATTGTTTGCAGATCGCAGAAACCCTGATGATGAACAGGCAGCCTACGTCCGGAGGGAAAGGACGTGGACTCGCCCCGCCATGTGAGTCCAGTCTTAGGACATCATGACGCATCAAGTCCCAGGATCTGATGATCATGATTCAGTGGACTAAAATGTTGTTCAACTTGTCAAGCGGCATAAGCATAACACACTTGCTTCATCACATAGCTCACTCTTATTTAAATCAGTTTAGTTATGTGTATGACAGTGTTCATCTTCTGAGGCAAGGGCATTAAATGACTATAAAAGTCCAGTTTACTTCCTTGATTAACTTGGCTAGAATTGTGTGGATCAATCATAGTGCCACCAGTGGCAGTTATGAGTTAAGTCCCTTCTATGTCCCTCCTATTTAAATCCATGTTGTTTACACTGGATGTCAAGTTCGTCACGCGATTTCGATTAGATTATGCATAGACTCGTTAGTCTAGCCAAATTGTAACTCCGAAATTCCTACCTAGTTCTGCAAGGGTGGAAACTGGACTTTTTTAGTCTGTTAACTCCCTTGCCTCGGGAAGATGGACCATGTTGTATTTTCAGAAGTAAGGGATGTTGACAATTCACTGCTTGCTCACTCTTAATTAAACCAAACTGGACATGAGAACTCTTCTCATAACTGAACCTGTGTCCCCTGAACCTCCCACTCTTCCACTGTTACTTAAAAAAGTTAACCTAAAGAAATATGGCCAGGAATGTCATCTTAATCTCTTGTGTGTTGATACACTTAAAGCCATATATAATGTCTATGCTTTGTTTTGGTCACCAGCGAGAACAATTAACGATCATGCCACATGCTTCAGTCCTTACATCTGTTGCTGTGACAACAAGGGTATATTTAACAACAAATTTGTATGTAGCCAGCAGGCCTTGCTCCTTTAAAGTTACTGGCCCTTCTTCAAACTAACTGGCATACAACTAAATGGTGTTAGCTGAAAAGTGTCCGTACCTGAGATTTATCTAACCACCTAGCGGGGCTCTGAAAATTTTAGAACTACTCACCCCTGAAACTCCTTTTCCTGCACTCTGAGATTAAATCTTGGCTTCCAAGATGATCAACATATATCTCTCTTTGAGTTAACTAAACCCCCATGTCTCATAGCTGTTAAACGTACAACCATTGCTCATTTTGGTACCATTGTGGATATCCTCTCTTATTTCCTCCGCTTATCTTCAACCTCTCTTACTTTCAGTAAATGCCAACAATAACGACCTCGCCAGCTACTTCGAATGCCCCGTCTGCTTCGACTATGCACTTCCTCCCATCATGCAATGTCAAAGTGGTCATATCGTGTGCCAGACGTGTCGTCAGAAACTGGCTTCTTGTCCAACATGCCGAGGACCTCTTGGTGAGTTTGTCAGCGGTAGAAATTTGCACGGGTCCTAAAGTCCTTGCCAAATTGCCCATTACTTTAGGTATCACAAGGATTAGTAGAGAAATTTGCCATTTTTAAAGGTTTCGCTATATGTTATCATTATGAGGACTAGGGGACTGAAAATGTTAGCTTCTACCGATGTATGGTCAGAGATTTATCTAGGATCTTAACCAAGTGCAAGGCCAGGCAAATAGGGAAAAACTATTACCGTATTCGACATAATAAGCACCTGGGGCGCTCTCAAAATCAGAAATAGGGGGCTCTTATTAGATTATAATTTTGGTGAGAGAAAAAAACAGTTGAAAGATCGTAAATTTCGTGGTTTATGCTGACAGCCTGAAATGATACAGAAGAAAAGTATGTCCGTAGTATGTACAGCAAATATATTTTCCAGAATTTAATTGCCCATAACTAAGGGTGCATATGACACATGAGTGCGTATTATGCACAATTAAATACGTCTTGTGTACATTGATCAATCGGAAGGGGTGCTAATTGGGATTGTTCATTATAGCAAATATCGCAGTGGGCGCTTATTGGAGCGAGGCGCTTATTACGTCGAATATGGTAGTTACTTTTGAAGTTAACACTCTTGATGACGTTGTCATGGATATCCTTTGTTCCAATTGAGAATCTTTTGGTCTAGTAATCAATATGGCTTTATTAGAACTAGATATTTATAAAATACTATAAACCTATGCAGATAGTATAGCTTTTTCTTTGTTAGATGGGTATTATGTTTTGTTGAATGTGCTTTGCTTCAAATAATGAGCAGTACACAATATATCCCCCTTGCTGCTGCAGAGGAATGATGTCAGTTCAGTCAACTGATAAATTAATTGATTGTACATTTATCTATATTTTGTGTGACTGATAAGATGGCAGGTGAATGAGGAGGTTATACATTATGATATTTAACCAGGAAAACATGGACTTATCTGTTAGCTACTCACTCAGTGGTGGTGTATACAGCAGATACATGATAGCTGGGATGATATATGTATTAACTGCATATCCAGGTGGTACTTTAAGCAAAGTGGTCTAAATGTTTGCAACTTGGCATTCCTAGACAAATGTAACACAAACAGAATGTACTAATCATTGGTTTGAATCTAAAATGACCACCTCCATGGTCTAGTGGATAGAGTGTCCACCTGGAGACACAAATGACCACCTCCATGGTCTAGTGGATAGAGTGTCAACCTGGAGACACAAATGACCACCTCCATGGTCTAGTGGACAGAGTGTCCACCTGGAGACACAAATTACCACCTCCATGGTCTAGTGGATACAGTGTCCACCTGGAGACACAAATGACCACCTCCATGGTCTAGTGGATAGAGTGTCCACCTGGAGACACAAATGACCACCTCCATGGTCTAGTGGATAGAGTGTCCACCTGGAGACACAAATGACCACCTCCAAGGTCTAGTGGATAGAGTGTCCACCTGGAGACACAAATGACCACCTCCATGGTCTAGAGGATAGAGTGTCCACCTGGAGACCCAAAAGACCACCTCCATGGTCTAGTGGATAGAGTGTCCACCTGGAGACCCAAAAGACCATCTTCAAGGTCTAGAGTATAGTGTCAACCTGGAGACACAAATGACCACCTCCAAGGTCTAGTGGATAGAGTGTCCACCTGGAGACACAAATGACCACCTCCATGGTCTAGTGGATAGAGTGTCCACCTGGAGACACAAATGACCACCTCCAAGGTTTAGTGGATAGAGTGTCCACCTGGAGACATAAATGACCACCTCCAAGGTCTAGTGGATAGAGTGTCCACCTGGAGACACAAATGACCACCTCCATGGTCTAGTGGATAGAGTGTCCACCTGGAGACCCAAAAGACCATCTTCAAGGTCTAGAGTATAGTGTCAACCTGGAGACACAAATGACCACCTCCAAGGTCTAGTGGATAGAGTGTCCACCTGGAGACACGAATGACCACCTCCATGGTCTAGTGGATAGAGTGTCCACCTGGAGACACAAATGACCACCTCCATGGTCTAGTGGATAGTGTCCACCTGGAGTGCCGACGCTCAGTGGTTCGATCCTCAGCTACGTCATACCAAAAGCGAGTAAAAAATGGTACCTCTTACCCTGCCTGGCTCTCAGCATTAAAGGGATAAAACAAGGACTGGTCCGCTCGGAGTCAGTGTACTGTGTCTGAGTGGGGTATTCATGTTAAACTGTGGCATGGTATCTCAGTGGGCTAGCACTAATAAACCTGCTTTAGTTGTGACTAGTACAAGTGGCCACACACACATGTGCGTGCAAATCTTTATACAAGTGCAAGAATTTTGAACGTGGCGTTAAATGCTTTTCACCTCACCTTGACTCCAGAATTCGACCAGATAGGGTCCTTGCTGTGTCAGCCCTATAACCTTGGATGTAGAAGTCACCAAAGTGGTATTTGTCTACAATTTGCATTGCTAGCACATGTAGTGTCTCCTAAGCCAAGTGACTTTGTTCGAAATGTGCCTCCGTTCACCCAGCATTGAGAGAGTACCCAGTAGGATTAGATGGTAATGTGGCTGTTACCCTCATAGCGCCTCACAGGAAGCTTGGGTTGTATATTCCCCAGGGAGCTGAGAATGAAAATCGAGTGCACACTGATCCTTTGACCTGGGTAATAATGTAGCACTTTGAGCATGCTCTCGGCCATGGATTATGGCAAATTATTATTATTATTATTATTATTTTATTTTTTATTTTTTAAAAACTCTATTTTTATATAATATTATTATTATTATTATTATTATTATTATTATTATTATTATTAGGGGCTGAACACCAGCATATAGCGACTCAATGCCACTTTACATACTGGTCAAGGTGGTGTTAAACCCAAGTCACTCACTCACTCTGTATTCCCAGGAAACATCAGGAACCTAGCCATGGAGAAGGTTGCAGCTACAGTGAATTTCCCCTGCAAGTATTCCAACAATGGCTGCTTGATGACGTTGTTACATACAGAAAAGACAGACCATGAAGAAACATGTGAATTCAGGTCAGTCACAAACCTTAGGTTCTTAAGTGTTTTTGTCCTAAACATTCAGGTAATGGGGATGTTCAACTGCTGTGGTTATCTCTATAAGGATTCTTGGTCATTGTAGGTACTCTGCACACAGTGCTTATGTTTTTGTTGTTTGTTGTTTCATGCCACACTCAGCAATATTCCGGCTATTTTATGGCAGCCTGTAAATAATCATATGAGAACCACACAATCCTGTGATGGACATCACGAACATCATTCTATGCAATTGCAATACGATGACGTACACCAGCCAAGTCAGCAAACCTGACCTCCTGATCCACTTTTGACATTCATAGGTTGCTGGGGACCTAAATTCTTACCCAGAACCCCACAGGTTCTAGTGATTACAGTCACTGTGATTATCATGATTATACTGGCAAGTCCAGTAGCACAATATGAAAAAACAAAAACCCTTGTGGCAGTTTCAAAATGTTACTGGCGGTGTTTGAGATAACGCATGATATTCATGGGGTCCTTGTCATAGACCGTCGGGTTAAAGGATAAGACTGAATGTGTCCCAGGACTCCAATACTACTGGAGCAAACCTCAATTACCCCTTGACGCCTTCACTGCGAACACCAGGGTTAGCCAGTGCTGTGTTGTAGTGAGCATGTTGTTGTTGATGCAGGCCATACACCTGTCCGTGTCCTGGAGCATCGTGCAAGTGGCAGGGATCCCTGGAGAATGTGATGCCTCACCTCATGCAGTCTCACAAGAGTATAACCACACTACAGGGTGAGTCAGTACACCACACCAGAGGGTGAGTCAGTACACCACACTACAGGGTGAGTCAGTACACCACACTACAGGGTGAGTCAGTGCACCACACCAGAAGGTGAGTCAGTGCACCACACCAGAAGGTGAGTCAGTACACCACACTACAGGGTGAGTCAGTGCACCACACCAGAGGGTGAGTCAGTACACCACACTACAGGGTGAGTCAGTGCACCCCACTACAGGGTGAGTCAGTACACCACACCAGAGGGTGAGTCAGTGCACCACACCAGAGGGTGAGTCAGTACACCACACTACAGGGTGAGTCAGTGCGCCACACTACAGGGTGAGTCAGTACACCACTGTAGCCAGTACACCACACTACAGGGTGAGTCAGTGCGCCACACTACATGGTGTCAGTACACCCCACTACAGGGTGAGTCAGTGCACCCCACTACAGGGTGAGTCAGCACACAACACTACAGGGTGAGTCAGTACACCACACTATAAGGTGAGTCAGTACGCTACAGGGTGAGTCAGTACACCACACTATAAGGTGAGTCAGTATACCATAGTACAGTCAGTGCACCATACTACAGGGTGAGTCAGTACGCTGTACTATAGGGTGAGTGAGTACACCAGTGTAGGCATTACACAACACTACAGGGTGAGTCAGTACACAACACTTTAGGGTGAGTCAGTACACGATCAGTAGTCAGTATGCAACCACAGGGCACGATGAGTCTGCATATCCACACTTAAATATATACAACTGCCAAGTATTGTTAAAGGTTTCTCAAATTCGAAACCATGTGATGTAGTTTTTGGCAGCCCAATATGACCAGCTGACGCATGCTGTGTTTGTTGCAGGTGAAGATATTGTGTTCCTGGCTACAGACATCAACCTGCCCGGGGCAGTAGACTGGGTGATGATGCAGTCATGCTTTGGTCAGAACTTTATGCTAGTGCTGGAAAAACAAGAAAAATATGATGGATTACAGATGTTTTATGCCATTGTACAGTTAATAGGAACACGGAAACAAGCTGAAAACTTTGCATACAGGTATGTAATGATTTCGTATTACAATATATTGCAATAATGATTTATGAATTGCTATCCGGACTACAATATATTGTAATAATGATTCATGACTTGCTATCCATACCACAATATATTGTAATAATGATTCATGAATTGCTATCCGGACTACAATATATTGTAATAATGATTAATGAATTGCTATCCGTACCACAATATATTGCCATTATGATTCATGAATTGCGATCCATACCACGATATATTGCAATAATGATTCATGAATTGTGATCCATACCACGATGTAGTGCAATAATGATTCATGAATTGCGATCCATACCACATGTTGCAATAATGATTCATGAATTGCGATCCATACCATGATATATTGCAATAATGATTCATGAATTGTGATCCATACCACGATATATTGCAATAATGATTCATGAATTGCGACCCATGCCACATGTTGCAAAAATGATTCATGAATTGCGATCCATACCACGATACATTGCAATAATGATTCATGAATTGTGATCCATACCATGATACATTGCAATAATGATTCATGAATTGCGATCCATACCACGATATATTGCAATAATGATTCATGAATTGCGATCCATACCACGATATATTGCAATAATGATTCATGAATTGCGATCCATACCACGATATATTGCAATAATGATTCATGAATTGCGATCCATACCACGGTATATTGCAATAATGATTCATGAATTGCGATCCATACCTCGATGTAGTGCATGCGTTCTTTCGATGTTGCTATGGCCCACCCCTTTATTGTCACAAAACCTTTTCTATCACAAGAATTAGTTGCTCATTTCTGAAATTCATAATTTCATTACAACTTGTCACTTATGTAAACTTTGCCAATAATAACAGGAACCCAAGTGACTTCAAATGGAACGATAATTTGAACCGATGAGTTTGGGACATGGGGTATAATGTAGGGTGAAACGATACATCGGTGATATGTTTTTCTTTGTATCGATACAAGACGGTACACTTGCTAAAATAAATTACTTACTACTCATTTTATGACTCCTGACGTTTTTGTCTTGTCAGATAAAGCACCAGTTATTAGAATTTCAAGTTCGCTACTAAAAATAACCCTTCCGCACATATGCCTACAGCTAGCTTTTCCTTTTGAACCTGCTCTGAAATATTTATTGTCAAGAAGTTTCCATGCGATTTGACGTAAATATGCGTATCAGGACCTTGCTGTATCGTTTCACCGCTAGTAGAATGGGTACCCAGCATTCTGTAGCTTGATGAAAGAGGGGAGATTGATCAAAACTGTTAAACCTAAAACATGCTACTGACAAAAATAAGGGGAACTAATGATTTGAATGTAGCTATCGTTGAGGTGTACATTTACAATAGCGTGGCATTGCATCTGAACACAACATTTAACCACAATGAAATTTCACGTCATTCATGAACAGCACGTGATGCACGTGCACACAGAAAAAAAAGTGTGTGCGTCTATAGGGAACCCACAATCAATACTGCAATTGAATTGAGCACACGCTTATGATGCCTCTGAGACAGTATCTCAAAGAACAGACAAAATGGCTTATTGTTAGTACGATTGAGGAGGGGACATCACTTTCCCAAATTATCCGATTATTTGGCAAATAAAAAAGAAGTTTTTTTAGAACAGGTTGGGTTGCAATGAGACCTGGTGTGGCAGGGCTTAAAAACGACACCTAGACAAGATCGTCTCATGACATTAATTGTACTACGCAGTAGATTTAAATTGCTCCTGTTATCAATAGAGAATTCTGTAGGAAGGCAAATATCAACATCTGCCATTAATAACTGGCTCTATGCAGTCCTCCGCCTGAAAGCCAGGCATCATGTGAAGGGTGTGACCCTAACTGCTTAGCATAGGGTAACCTGTGACGGGCTGTAAGCCAGTGGCGTTACACCATGTTTACAGGGGAATCAACATTTTGCCTCTGATTCACAGATGGCAGAAAATGTTGTTGGCGACAAAGCGGTGAGAGGTATGTCAGGGCAACAATTCTTGACCCTGATTGGTGTGGGGGCGTTAGTGTCATGGTGTGTGGCGAAATCACACATGACAGGCGAACTGAATTGGTTATTGTGAATGGAAGTAGACTGGCCAGCTGCATCCCCTGACAGCTGCATCCCCTGACATGTCCCCAATAGAGCATCTGTGGGATGTTCTCGGGCTGCATCCCCTGACATGTCCCCAATAGAGCATCTGTGGGATGTTCTCGGGCGGAGTCCCCTGACATGTCCCCAATAGAGCATCTGTGGGATGTTCTCGGGCAGAGTCCCCTGACATGTCCCCAATAGAGCATCTGTGGGATGTTCTCGGGCTGCATCCCCTGACATGTACCCAATAGAGCATCTGTGGGATGTTCTCGGGCTGCATCCCCTGACATGTCCCTAATAGAGCATCTGTGGGATGTTCTCGGGCTGCATCCCCTGACATGTCCCTAAAAGAGCATCTGTGGGATGTTCTTGGGCGGAGTCCCCTGACATGTCCCTAATAGAGCATCTGTGGGATGTTCTCGGGCGGAGTCCCCTGACATGTCCCCAATAGAGCATCTGTGGGATGTTCTCGGGCGGAGTCCCCTGACATGTCCCTAATAGAGCATCTGTGGGATGTTCTCGGGCGGAGTCCCCTGACATGTCCCTAATAGAGCATCTGTGGGATGTTCTCGGGCGGAGTCCCCTGACATGTCCCCAGTAGAGCTTCTGTGGGATGTTCTCGGGCGGAGTCCCCTGACATGTCCCTAATAGAGCATCTGGAGGTTGTTCTCGGGCGGAGTCCCCTGACATGTCCCCAATAGAGCATCTGTGGGATGTTCTCGGGCTGCATCCCCTGACATGTCCCTAATAGAGCATCTGTGGGATGTTCTCGGGCGGAGTCCCCTGACATGTCCCCAATAGAGCATCTGTGGGATGTTCTCGGGCTGCATCCCCTGACATGTCCCTAATAGAGCATCTGTGGGATGTTCTCGGGCGGAATCCCCTGACATGTCCCCAATAGAGCATCTGTGGGATGTTCTCGGGCAGAGTGTATAGGCCAGAGACCCAGCAACCGCCAATATGGCTCAGCTTGTGGTTGCTCCTGAGGTGGAATGACAGGCAATACCAAGGGCAACCATACGCAGGTTAATCAAACATTTGCCATTAAGGTGTAGTGCATGTATCGCCCAGCTTGGTAGACACACCAGAGTTCGATTTACACGCAAAAAATAAATTTTTCAGACATTTATCATCACTACAGTTCCTTTATTTCTTGTCAGTAGTATATTTGACCTCGTGGATGCATTCTGTGAAGCACATTCTTGGTGTCGGGACCCCAAGCCTATCGTTATTGAAATAACAAAAATAACAAAGATTCTTCATCTTGTTTGAAACATTGTTCATGAACATGATGAAGTAATATTATTCCTACGAGTACTGTTCCTGAGTTTTACCTTGACTTGTAACAGTGGGGGTCCAGGGGACCCTCAACAAGTAATTTGAAGGGTCCTTGCAGGCAATATGAGGGTCCTATTGAAATGATGTTGTGAACTGTACATTTTGATAATTACTTTAGAGTCTGGAATGAATCAGTGGTGATGGAGAGTAAGGCCATGTTTCATCGCTGAAATGACAGACTCCCATAACTGCTCTTGATGCGCTGTAGGTCAAATGAATATTATTGTACGTTATTCTTTTTCTGCGTCCATTCTCAACATTTACACATAACACATTACACATTACACATTACGCATGAACCCTGTCCTTTCTCTATTAAATTATTGCCATAATCCTGTACCTTTGCTGTCGTCAGACTATAAAAATCCTTAGATTTGCAACAGAAGTTATCTTCACTGTCTGGTGACTTGGCTGAAGCATGTCATCGTATCCCAATTGCATAGATTGCTGCTCATCATGTCAATCACTGATTTGTCTGGTCCAGACTCCATTATTTACACGTAGCTGAAATATTGTTGAGTGCGTCAGTAAACAACAAACAAACCTCAGTGCAGATAAAAGTGCCCAGTGCATCTGCACTCGCTAAAGGCGGGAAAACCGCACTTCTTTCATATGTGTGCTAGGGTCAACATCTAAAAAACTAATATGTTTGAATGTTTTGCAGACTAGAACTAAACGGTCATCGGAGACGTCTGACATGGGAGGCAACTCCACGAAGCATTCACGACGGCATCCAGTCAGCAATCATGAGCAGTGACTGCCTGGTGTTTGACACCAACATCGCACAACTGTTCGCAGACCATGGCAACCTTGGAATTAATGTTACAATATCCGTCTGTGAAAGATAAAGGGATCTGCTGGAGACACTACTGTTTGATATCATCGTTGTACATAGACTTGTAAGATTATATTGTACATTTGATCTAGACGTCCACGGACGGTGCAGTTGACCGGCTGATCACATTATCGGTGGGTGCATATACCTCAAAATAACCCTGGCTCTCATGGGGAGGGGAGAGACAAATAGAGTGTGGGGGTAACGATAAAGTGACCGGTTCCACAACCAGATCCTGGCCCAAATAACATGCAACATCCCTGGGAAAACTGTTGGTATGGACTGATTAATGTCCTTGATATTAATGACTGAGGAGGGAGACATGAATAAAAAATCTCATTCAGGGTTTCGACAAACACAATTTTGTCATGTTACCAGCTGGACCAGGTCCATAAATCTTATCCTTACCTAGGCTACTAGGTAACTAAGGGTGGTGGATTAGGCTAGTGGTTAAAGTATTAGCTCATCATGCCAAAGGCCTTGGTTTGCTTCCTCACTTGAGTACAATGTATTAAATCCTTTTCTTGTGTCCCCTTTCTCGATGTAAATAAATATTGCTAAGGGCAGCGTAAAACCATCCTGAATCTCTAGATACCTACAAAATTGAAAAAGGTTCTACCGGGTACTCCTAATTCAGTTAAAGGAAGCTTAATCAGGAGCTTGCAATTCATTTTGTCCACTAGCCTGTCCGAGAACTTTTATCATTGCTAGTCCTGTTTTATGTTTACTGTCATTTGTGTGGTAGAGATCGTATTTGTCGAACACTGAGCCACGGAAAACCATTGTTGGTTGCAAGGTTGATAGGTCAGTACCAGGCCACCAGGAACATGTATGTTGTGTATTTGCCACTTTGAGTTAGACTGAAAGATAGGACAGTTGCAGGACCAAGAGTGTGGTGGAGCAGGGCTGTGATGCGTAACATATCACAATCTCATTAAAATCAGATCTTAGTTCTTGCTACGGCTAAACAAAGATCTGAGGACATCCCATTACGGGTCACGTCGACCAACTTGCGCAAATTTTGATCGACCAATGGAATGACTGACAAGAAGTCCACATTAGCCAATCAGAAGGCAGCTTTTTCGTGCTTTATGGCACTAGTTTCAAACTGGCAACTATGATTTGAAACATATTTTGACAAATTCTCAATGAAAAAATTAAAAATTTGAAAACGGAACAAACAAACATTCTGGAATGGTTAATACATGGCCTAGATTGTATGGATTCAGTCATAACTGTTGTTCGGAATACCCCTTGTTAAATCTTTTGATTATGCACGATCAGAAATCACATTCCGACTGTCAATTTCATGATCAGGTAAGCGACGCATTGATTGGTCAGATGAAAGTTCATTCTGACATGGATGTCAGGGATGTCCTCAGATCTTTGCTTATCCGTAGCGAGGACTAGGAGCTGATTGGAATGAGATTGTACTTATCATGATAAGAGTTCCAACAGAATACATATCACGATACACCATGATGGTGTATTAATGATTATTGAGATGTATTCATGTTTGAGGACATAGCCTTGTGTGTTGTGGCTGAACAAACTAAACACATTCACTGTGTTGTATCTGCCTTGAAGTGAGCGTCTTGACTACGGCATAGTATGGAGATGTGTCACCCTATCGTTACACCCCCAGAAACTAGGACCATGTTATTCCAGAAGGGAAACCAGTTGCATACTGTAATTGGAATATTCACCATGCTTGCTTTAATCTTATATTGGATCTGCATTGAGTTTTTAAGATGGGGTTATTGTCAGCTTCATGGACACAAATCTTGACCCCGTTCCACACATTATCTCGGAGCTACGACTGCTGTAGGTCTGTGCTAAAGTATAGGATTACTCTTGCTTTAGCAGTACGTTACTTTGTGGGAAGGTGTCATGATCTTTTAAAGGCCAGACTTTTTTTAAGCTTGGTTTCCAAATCTGCCAACTCCCAAAAAATTGAAATGTGAAAATAAATTAAAAAATGAAAAGCATTTTTGGTTATTCCATCTACAACTCATCCTCCATATGATTAAAAACTTTGAAATGCTATAATTAAAATCTGTTGAAAATTTATCGTTAACCTTCAAAACAACGAATATTGTGACGGATTTGGGTCTGGAATGGAAGGGAGGTTACTCTAAACTTGTTTCTTTCCCTATGACACCCACTCCCACTTTTTTGTTAACTACTTAACACATTGAGGAAATAAGAAACATATTAGAAAAGGGTGATATGTTTTTCTGCCTACATCCTGAATTTTGGGGCCAAAAATCTGTAGCCCCAAAAAATAAACATACATGTCTGGCCTTAGGCTGGAAAGTAAGTTCAAATACTATATTTAATTTTGTCATGCAATTCCTAAATGTATGGAGCACAGACGGTACTGAGTCAATATCAGTGTGTTCTGTCGACAACATCTCCCTGTGTAGAATTATGAGGAAACTAAGCAGTGTTTTAAATGATGGAAATATACAAAAGTATCTCTTTGTATAATGCTTTAATTTAAGACGGTGAAAGAGACATATTTTTTTAAGGGATTATATCTTGCAAAAGGTATTAAAGTCTGTTGTCTGTGGACAAGCATATGTTGCTATTGGTTACATGACTGTACCAGGTGGCTATACCAGCATGCATTGCGGTTTCCTAATATATTTCCTGATTAAAACTTGGATGGTTGTCAGTTACCTTCATGGACCTGTGACCTATATACTAGCTGTGATTAAGTGATTGATGCATAAATAGCACTGATGTCCAGTTCACCAGAACCAGTGTTTTATGGACAGTACAAATATAACAGTTGGTTTGTAGAAGTGAGCTGGAAAAGAGAGGTATGAAAAGTTTAAGCATGTTCAAGTCTTGTTACATTTCTACCTTAATGTGTATACCACTCAGCACTTTATAGGGACATTCTTTCCAGGGTTAGACTGAAGGTTCTTGGAGACATTGTCATTTGAACAGTATTCAATATTTCTATAAAACTGATGCATTTATTTTTAACTTTATTCTTTCGTCAAATGTTTTCTCTTGGCTTTGTTACAGTATGGAGTAGCTGAGTTTCTGTATCAGATGTTGAGTAGCATGTGTGATGAGTCAGAGGATAGTGTTTTGTAGAGTAAATATGGATAGTCACTGTCTTCAGTGGAAATATTCTGATAAGTCAGTGGTTGCTAATGCCCTCGTGTAGAAAAATGTAAGAAGAACTCCTACGCAACTGAATCATGTTAAGAGTTGATCAAACACAACTTTATCTAATTCACCAACATCATGTAATTAGGTCTTACATTCTTACATTAAATAAATAGGATTTGCTACAAAGTACAATTTTTATAAAGCTGATGCTGCAAACGTCTGCCATTTCCTTGAGCTCCACATAACTATCAGGTCAGAATGTCATCCCACAAACACAAGGGACACTAGCTTACTTTCTTACCAGTTTCACAGATGCAAACTGAAAAATACTGATGAAAGGACTTACCAAAAATGAATAACTACTTGGAAAGAATTAAGGTGGGTGGTAGTGGTAGAAGCGTTGGCTTGTCATTTCTGAAGGCCTGGGTTTGATTTCAGCCTTGGTAAAATGTATGGACTGTAAGGTATGATGCTGTGATATAACAGCATTAAACCACTCACTCACTCACTCACTCTGATATTGGCCCACCAGCCAACCAGTAAAGTGCCAAACTTGTCGATGAAGATCCATATTCCCCTGGGATCCCAGACGTATTGTTCATATCATGTTTGCTGTTCCCTGAGTAATAAGTTGATATCTCTGCATTTTGTATTTGATCACTAAGTTACTACCATTTTCATCGTGATATTTAGAAATATTCATTTGACACTGATATTCTTAAAAGTGGCGTAAAACTCTATTCACTCAATTCAAAAAGGAAATATTTTGAAAATGTTTTGATGAGAGTTATGATACCGATGTTATGTAAAGGTTAGGTTTGCACTACTCCAGGCATTGAACTAGCAGATTGCATGGCCATGAGGAGGAACCTTCCCCTTCTTTGAGTAAACTAATGTTACTTTGTCCAAGAATTAGAGTAATGCTCATGAAAATGTTTCTTCATCACAAGTTGTCTGTTTTCTATTACCAGACAGACACTGCAGACCATATCAATTGTCAATCTGTCAATAACATTTCCATATCAGCTGGAGGCTCGAGAATACCAGCCGACTAGTATACATTCAATTACCAATGTGAAATACATATATTTTGTACAGTATTGTAGCTAAAATGGATAGAATTAAACGCCCGCATGTTATCATAAATGAGCGGGTTACTGTAACTTGATAATGCCCTCATATTGCTTGACGACGGGCCATTATCACGCCTGTTGTTAGGTGACGTCATAGGGATGGGATAGGTGACATCACTTTCAATAGTGATGTCATCTGGTTTGTTCTATGACGTTTCCATATTTGTGAAAGTGGGTCAGTGACATTCGTGTTGATTGCAGTTAATGTTTCAAGACTGATATTGTTTCTTTTTATTTGATAACAAATTCCATCCATTTTAGCTATAATAACGGTAGCTCCTTCGTCAGGCAGTTAATGGAAGACCTCGGGCTTCTGCAAATGATAATGTCGCGAAAAATAGCGTTACCCCTATGATATCTTCTTTCTATTGCCTATAATTCAGTTCTGTTTAAATGTATTCAGAAGAGTGTCAGATGATACACTGGCTGGAAAAGTAGGACTTTATTCAGGATATACTTGAATGCTTCAAGTTTTTTTATGTGTCTGAAGTATGCTACTTGTACCATCTTGCTTGGTTTATAAGGGGCACAGGTGGACCAGTCCAAGACGCTGCTATTCGCTATGTGGAGTTGCATCCCTTGGGGACACCAGATTCTGGGTTTGAATCCTGGTACAATGTGTGAAGCCCATTTCTGGGGTGCCCGCTGTGATATGCTGGAATATTGCTAAAAGTGGCGTAAAACTGTACTCCCTAGTGTGTCTTTCCACCCCACCAACAGCAAGCAGTGCAAGATCACAGTCTTCTCTGTCTAGAACCATCACTGTGCAAGGCCAGACAAGTTTAGTTTTCTTCTGGAACAGATTTTCCTGGTCTCATTCTCACTAAAATAGCAGCATGCCTGAATTGTTTTCTGAAAAGCTCTGAGTTTATTTTAGAAATTACAAACAAGAAAGAAAGAACATTGTTAATTTTGTTTAAATTTAATTTCCAGTGCACTTGTCTGTAAAATGAAAGCATTTATTGTTCTGGCTGTACATGGTTCTACTGTGGACTCACTGAAACAATGGGGGTTCACTGAACTAGTTTATGGTGTTCCTTCACTTATATCTGCATGTCATTAAGCCTTCATCCTCTTGCATCCTTGGATTTAAGCTTTTTTGTGTTGCTGTAATTTACTAGCTAGGAGGATTTTGTTTGACATTATATATCACCTTGGTTGTATGGTCCCTGCTTGACATGATCCACCTGTAGAATATTCATCCAGACTGATAGTTGGGAGCAGGCCGATTCAGGCCATTATCATGAAAACATGCTGTAATGATTTTGAGAATGTGTGTGAAAAGTTGATGAGAATTGTTTTGTTACATTCAAAGGAGTAAAAAAATCTTGAATTCTTTCTTTGCAATTTTGTTTCAATTGTAATTGTGTAGTGAATACTGGATAGAGTGTCAGCTTGCCATGAGCAATGCCTAGGCTGGCTCCCAAGAGGTAGTCTCTTATTATCTCCACCCTGTTTCTTCTATTGTGAAAAGCAGCATCAAACCCAAGCCACTCACTCACTCTGTACATCACACTGCTGTTCAACAGCTAACAACGTCGGTAGCCCTATATATATGCCACCCGTTAGAGTGGCTCGATGGATATGGTGGGTTTCAGCCCTGGACAATGTACTGGTAGATAACTTCTATATCCACCAGTCCAGGACACACTAATATGTGCACAGAAGTAGTAACACTTGATTCCTCACACATTGGTAGAAATTCTTTTGTCTGTTTTTTATGTTTTTGATTCAGTAACTATCAAATTACTACAAGCTGATGTCATTGTAACAGGTACGACACTCGCATACGATAACCTCCCTGTCGAAACCCTTTGTCTGTGCTATTACATATACCCCATCTACAACATGATCCTCACAGAAGCATTGATGGTGATATATTACTTTTAGACATCTTTAAATATGCTCTTAATGAACTCTAAAATTAAGACACAACTCTTTTAGTGTTCCTGGGACAACTAGACAAAAAAACAAGAGAATGTTGAGCGACCCTCATTATAACCACCCATTTCTTGTTGTATGCATGGCTATGTATCCTACTCCTTTCTAATATTGTCATAATTATTAATTGCTGTCATGGACAATGTAACAATTGTTTGCAATTATCTGTTTATTACAGATGAGATTCATTTTCTATTTGTTTTTAATTTGAAAGGGAAGGATATTATTGTAATGAAATCATTTTACATTCATGGAAAATAACATTGAATATTTTCAACTTCATGTCCATTATTGGTTCATTTAGACGCTGTTCGTGTTTATCGCTCTGTGGAGCCAACATGACGTGCTAGATGTTCTTTTACCTTGTTCATTTGTGTCTTTCAATAACGTGATGATCATTTTGGGGAAATATTTGAGTACGACCACAGTGACTGTCTGACCTTTACATTAGTCGTCATTAATAGTTCCACTTTCAATACGTAACATGCAGCAGCCCATGCTTGTCATAAGAGGGTGGTTGTATTGGTATTGGGTGGTCAGGCTTACTGCCTTGGTTGATGCATGTCAGCATAACCCATTTGTATTGATCAATGACCATGAATCACTGGATTGCCTGGTCCAGACTTGATTATTTATAGACCTCCATCTTATAGCTGGAATATTGCTGAGTGGAGTGTTATAGAATCCAACAACTAAAGCCTTCACTTGTCACGGCGAAGTCACAGTCAATTCCACACATGGGTACAATATGTGAAGCCTATTTCTGGGGCCCCCCACTGTGATATTGCTGGAATATTGCTAAAAGCAGCTTAAAACCATACTCACTCACTCACATCTGCTATTTTACAAGCCTACTTCACATGGCAAAGCTTGCCATAGATTGACCTTTAGCATAGATAATCCATAGGACTAGAGTCTTACATGGTTTAGGCTGATTGTGAATGTATTATGATAAGAAGACATGGATCTATGGAAACTGTACTCTGTAATTAGGATTTGTTAACACCGCTTCATGGCTGACCAAGAGGTCTTGGCCACTCTTAATCATGCCAGGGTCTGTGGTCGAGAGGTCAGATCCTGTTGGCCCTGATTATAATCCTTAGTTTATCAGCCACATTCCTGTGCCGTGGATGTCGCCAGATGCGACTGAACTGAAACTGACACGGAACTAGTGTTCAGCACGACATTACACCCAACTCCTGAGAGTCAGGATAGTGGCCGTGATGTGAGCCTAATTGTTGTAGTCCAACAGACTGGAGCAGTAGGCACAGCTGGTCGCGGAGGACGTGGTGTAAAGGCTGACAGAGAATTGACCATCATGGCAACATATTCACTAGGGCTGGGACGATACACCAGCTGTGCAATCTGATACGCATCACGATACCTTGCTCACGATGCGATATGTATCGCGAAACTTGCATGTGCACTGTGGTGCGTAAGCCATCTTTTTCATAGACAGGATTGCCAAATACCTGGCACACTAATGATTAACAGTTGGCAGTGTCAGGTATGGCACAATGAATGAAATTATTTACGTTTTCAGTACTCATTTTCACTAGTAATTAGTGTTTGGTGTTATTCAAGAAAACACTTATGGTAAGAATCGATACTTTTTACTTTGTTTGTGACCGTGTTCGATACTGTGTATCGAGAAGTGAAAAACCGCAATCCACCGATGCATTGGTGTATCGTCCCTCTACTAATATTAAGTCAGTGTTTCACACAGGGATTAAGTTTAAAGATGGGTCAGATCGTCTGCCAGAAACACAGGACACTTACAATTAGGGCACCCCTTCTTTAGAAACCTTCTCTTTTATCATTTCAAAGATGCTAATGCTATAACTTTTCTTATTTTTCCAAACATATTGGGGAGTTCGGGTAGCCTAGTTGTTAAAGCGTTCGCTTATCACGCCGAAGACCTGGGTTCGATTCCCAACATGGGTACAATGTGTGAAGCCCATTTCTGGTGTCCCCGCCGTGACATTGCTGGAATATTGCTAACAGCGGCGTAAAACCATACTCACTCACTCTAAACTTGTTTAAAAGTCTTGTATGATGCTATGATGTACAGTACTTCATGAGCTGAGTGTTATGATTTGATAGCTGACACAACAAGTGCCCTTGTTACTCTTACTAATCAGCTTAGAACTGTGGAAGCATAGGTCAGGAAATGTCCCATGATGCAGAGAGATCAGTAGCCCTGTGCAACTGCCTGTCTAAACACATCACGTTAGTCAGTTTCAGTTATACTTCTCGAAAGAAGTTAAGGACCAATCAATTCCTACATGTTACTATAGTTAATCAGTCCTGGCATGACAGATTATCTTTAGTACATTTAACATGAAAAAAATTGGATGGTCCTTAACATGGCACGTCAGATTACTTTTCATCATGTGAAAGACTTGGGTGGTCCTTAACTTCTTTTGAGTAGTATATTTTAATCATCCATCAGTTCATCGATGTAATGACACCGCCCGGTTGTGTGAAGTTTTCCTCCCATTATGGTGATTCCACTGTGATCCATAGAACTGCTGCAACTTGTCAGCCCCACCCATGATGCCATTTTACCCTCACCGATCACCACTGACATATTGTAGGTACTGATTTGCAAGTGCTTGTTAATGAAGGACCAGGTTCACAAAGCGATCTTAGTTTTATAACTGTTGTATGTCTGTTAAGATATTTTAATTGCGATTGCTGAAGTTCTGGAATTGCTTTGTGAATATGGACCCAGGCCACGATGCTGTGTGTTGGTAACCAATGGTGACCACAAAGGAAGATCTTTCAGTTCTTGTCTTGGTCCTGCTTCACAAAGTGATCTTTGCGCTACGACTGTCGTATGTTGTGTTTGTGTAAGTATAGGAATTATGACTTGTACTGACTGCTTTTAGTGTTACAACTGAAGGTGGTTTGTGCTCGGAGTTGATAGACCTATTGAATTGCTACATTGTTCATCAGTTTCTGTTAAGCATAGCAGTTAAACTGACTCGTGTACGTAAGTTTGTGATTAAGTTCCGAAGTTGATGCAATATTGATGATGCTATGACTGTTATTAGAATGTTTTGACTATCGAATACGACTGACCTTAGTCTTAAAGCTGAGAGGTTTGTGACATTGAAGTGAGCTTGGTGGTATGACTGGTGTTAGAATGTAAGATTAGAATTGTGTCATAGTGCAAAGATTACTTTGTGAAACAGGTCACAGATAGCAAATGTTTTTTTAGGATTTGTTTGTAATAATTCATGTCCAACAAAACACACCTCTTAAACTTTTTTGTGCCCAACTGCAGGCCTTGGAATAAAACAGTCGTGGCCTATGACTGCTTTGTGAAACAGGGCCCTCAATCACTACAATCCTAATACTACAACAGTCGTATGTCAATCTTTAGGTAGGGGGCTCAAGGCAGTTGTAGTGCTACACTCGTTTTGTGAAATGGAGCCTTGTACTGTAAGTTAGGTTTTCAGTAATTATGGCTAAGGTCACTTTGTGCAGATGGGCCCATTCATGCTTACTGACATCACACCCGTGTATGGATGGCCTGTAACAATGCTGCAATGGTTTGCCTGCTCCGGACTTGCTAACCTCTGTAACCTAGAGCCCCATCAACTCACCCACTCAACTCACCACTCAACTCACCACTCAACTCACCACTCACACATGGGAGGGGCTGACTGGTGGTGTTCATCTAGCTGCAGTGCAGATTTCTGTGGAGAGTTTTTGTATAAATAAGATGTCCGTCTACTTTGTGAGGTGGCTCCAATCACCAGGTGGTTGCCTCAACAGACTCAGTACTTGTTTCTCGTAATTTCCTAAGAAGAAATTATTATATTTTATTGTTGGTATTGTGAGTTGAGACATCTCCCTGGCCTGAACAACTGTTATCCAAACTCACTGAGAAATGTTCATTAAGTCAGTTTTTATGCTACAGGTACATATACTACTCAAAAGAAGTTAAGGACCACCTGATTCTTTCAGATTACTTTTTAATCCACCATGACATATTCACTATAATATGAAATAAACAGTGGGCCTTAACTTCTTTTGAGTAGTATAATACAAAAACAGGTACGTTACTTGACTTGTGGTAGGTATATTTCTCTTACTGCCACTGGGGACAGATGTCATACACATGGTCTTTGTTAGGCATTTAGAATTTGGAAGAACATGAATGCATCTTTTCAGGTCTTTATTTCAGAAGAAAGAATGAGAAATACTGAATTGGTTGTTGCTGCTAGAACTGGGGGGAGTTGTGGTTTGATGCCCCCACTGTGCCATGTTACATAGAGATTTATTGTACAGAGGCTATTTTGTCTAAGACAGTGTATTGACATAAATTATTCTGTTTTGATACAGGAATGATCAAGCATTCGGTTGTAGATAGCTAGAATAAGCTTAGCTGTAAATATGTTAGCTATGCAATAAAACGACATGAACTGGTGGTACTGGTTTGTTTTCAATTTATGTTTTGCGTTTGTGTTTGGATGAATGAGTTTTATGAAAGCATTGTGCTGGATCAACTGAGCGGTTAAATGTGTATTTTATGAAGCTCTTACTGTAGGTATGTGTAAGGCTACAGAGACCAACATTATGTTTGAAGTTTGTTTTATATGAGTCATTTTAATGTTGTATTTGAAAGAGATGCGCGCTAAGTCGTAAAGGAGAGGGAGAGGGAGAGGGGTTGGCTGGCTGGCTGGCTGGCTGGCTGGCTGCTTGTACTAGTCCAGACTGATGCTGATTTATAGTGCTAGCTCACTGAGATACCATGCAGCAGGATTAACATGAATACCCCACTCACACACAGTATACTGACACCAAGCTGACCAGTCCTGGATTTAACCCCTTAGTGCCGAGCCCCAGACAGGGTAACAACAAGTACCATCTTTTAACGTCTTTTGGTATGACGTGGCTGGTGATCGAACCCCGGACCTTCTGCTCTCCAGGGGAACGCTCTACCTCTAGACCAGGAAGGCAGTCTATTTTACAGACTGCTGTCATGTACAGCTGGAATATTTCCTAGTGCCTGTAAACAACAAACTATGTATTCAATTCCAGATGGGAGTGGGCCATCGGTCCATGTACAGTAATATGGTACACCGCAACATATGCGGTACAAAGAATGGTTAAAGGGGACAGTACACTTCTCCTTGCAAGCATTGCACAGTAAATATACTAACAGAATAAAGTAACTGTGCTTCATATACAGTTTAAGAAAAAATAAATATATTCGGAAATTAAATAATGCATCTTTCAAAACATATTCATGAAGACATCTCTTGGCTTTAGGGGCGGTCGGTAGCCTAGTGATTAAAGCGTTCGCTCGTCACACCGAAGACCCGGGTTCGATTCCCAACATGGGTACAATGTGTGAAGCCCATTTCTGGTTCCCCCGTGATATTGCTGGAATATTGCTAAAAGCGGCGTAAAACCATACTCACTCACTCACTCACTCTTGGCTTTAAGGTCGTGATTCACAATTTGCAGGTGCATGTTCATGCACGGTGCACAATTTTGATGTTTGCGTGTTTGTTACCAACCTTACCAAATCCCAGGTCTCCCAGACTACCAAATGGCCAGTCCCTAATACGCCTCGGAAATAATTTATATTGTTTTCATTTTATCATCGGATTATAAGGAAATAACACGTTAATTGATTAAATCCAGGGATATGGACTCAATGCTCACTGATTAATGCAAGTTGGTAAGTCACTCGATAGATGGTCTTACGTAAGTACGTGCGTCGATCTTTAGTGTTGTCAATTAAACACATTATGTTGAGTGCTTTGATCGATGCACCTGTTTGAATTACAGTGATGACAAGAACCATTAATGAGCATTAGCACAATAATCTGATTGTGGACAATGTTGCTTTGGTAACCTAAATAACTATGTCGACTCGGAAACACAGGCCTGTGATTTCGTCCCTCGTCTTTAAGGAGGATGAACCCGTTGCAAAGGAAATAAAACTCTTTACGAATGTGGCACACGTTAATAATGTAATATTTGGGCCAGACAAATATATTGATTTGCTTCACGTATTTTCTTGATCATTATACTGGGCAGGAGGCAAAATGAAATTTAAAAGGATTTTAAACATATTTGAATTTAACGAAACATTTAAATCGCTGTTACACGGTGTTAGATATGCTCGTCCGAAACAAATTGTTATAAGTACGTGTGGGGTATATGGTCTGTATCATCATTGTATTGACGACAGCAGCTCCAACACGCATAGCGTGTGTGAAAAGATCAAAACCGTACACTTGTATGTAGAATGTACAGGAATTCCTTATACATGAATGCATTGAAACGTTTGCTTATACTGTCTTAGTTATTTAATCAACGTGCACTTAATTGACGCCACTCACATACGGCGTTAATACAAACAACATTACGTCACGAAACCAGATAAAAAACACATTATATTTCAATGTTTTGCCCAAACGTGATTATACCATCCACGTGATTAGTTAAAGGGGGACTTGACTCTGCCAGATTGACAGACCCAGCAAATTTGTTTCAAGTTATTCAAACACCACACAGTTGAATGTAAATATCTACTTGCAGTTAATGGTTACATTTGTTACCCATCGTAAGCATCGACCCACGCAACTGTGGCCCAGACTCGAGTATTGCTGAGTATGGCGTAAAACAAAACAACAAACAACTAAACAAAGATATACAATAAGCCAGTTGAATCAAACAGTGATTCACAGGGAGCGATATGTCCTTCCTGAATGATATTGGTTATATAACCTATTCAATCACGCTCATATGGCTGTGGGGGGAAATCAATCCGTCATTGACCCCGCTAATTTGAATATCCAACTGCCTTATTTGGTATCAGTTGAGTTCACAAGATTGTCCTCTTACACGTGTAGAGACATGAGTCAGACACAAGGCAGTAAATATTCTGGTGTCGATTGTTCATTACATTTTGTGAGCCCCTTCTGTTTATTCACTCATTGTATATTATGTTATTATCTATTTTAACTAATGACCATCTAGGTTGTCGACTCTTATTATTATTTTGTCCCGGTATAGACTAACTTTCATCATGTTTTCTCCCCAGCCGCTTTTCACATCATTACTTCTCATCAATATATTTCCTGTCAATTAATTATCAGAATAGAAATATATCACCAAAACAGTCACGATATTATCCAACAGCTTGCCGAATGGTCGATCGGTTGTAAGGGTTTACGACAGACGACGTAGAAACGCTCAACCAATCAATGCCAACCTTTCTGTGACGTCACAGTCAGGTATCGATTTCCTCGGCCACAAATGGCCAGCTTAGTCTATTTATAGCCAACCACATGACCTGACGTGTTGTGTTTACTGTTAGACAGGACAGATTTTGAGAACGGGGCATAGTTTTTTTTTCCGGATATAACCCCGCCACTGGATAAGGAGGGTAACTTTGCGGAATCGCAATGTTTAGATTCATAAGCGCAATAAGGAATGGATCTGCTGTTGAAGAAATCGAGCGATGGCGAGTGAAGAGCGACACGGATATGTTGGACGGGGGAGGGGACATATTGTATCCTCCCTTGGAAGCGCTTCGCTTTGCAGTAATGTACAGTCATCTGGATTATGCACGCCACATTCTTCGGACATTTGGTGAGGAGGTTCTAAGAGTGAGTCTGTGTTGCCCGCTTCTATTATTATCTGTCAGACTTAACGACGAGGCAATGCTGAAATTACTTTGCGAGGAAAGCCGGTTAATCGGTGGCAAGGTGAACATAAATTATGTAAATTCAAGAGGTTGTGACCTAATGGAGAACGGGAAGACAGCGCTACACACTGCCGCCGAGCTGGGATACGTGAACTGTACGAAGGTGTTATTACAACATGGAGCGAACCCCACCTTGAAAGATTCCACTCGCATGACACCTTTGGAGAAATCGTGCAGAAAATACCGAGCAACGCTGAACAACCTAAGGTGTTGTGTTGAGCTACTCAAGTGTGAAAAACAGGTTCAGAACGAGTTGCTTCCCTTATTAATAACTCTTCACGACCGAGTTCATGTTGACGGTGTTTGTGACGTGTGCAAATTTGTGCCGACTTCTGTTCAGCCGAGCAGCTTAGAACACCTCAGCAAATGTAGCATACGTATGACTCTTGGAATACACCTTCCCCAAATAGTTAAAACATTACCGCTGCCATTTATTGTTCGCAAGTCCATATCGTTCCAGGACAACGAGGACGGTACATAGCATCATGGACACTTAAAACGATTTAGGGCCCATGATAGTGTGTATGTGATAAGGTTTAGTGACTGGGTTAATAACATGGTTGTACGTGTGAGGTCACGGTGACAATACTGTATTAATACATGTCAGTGGGAAGTATTGTACATATCACCTAGTGTATTTATAGGTCAAGAGCGTCTAGGTCGTGTTTATGTTTGTGTGTTTAGTGTATGAGTATTAATTTATTTATCTTCTTTAATATATTTGCCATGGCATATATTTACCACATATATGCAAAATGTCCTTTATTGACGTGTAGGGACCCGTGTCCACGAACACATGAATAGTCCCACAACTATGCACATTGACACTGCAACCGTCTGCTGTCATTTTTAAAAATATATCTCAACGTTTGCACTTTACGGGTCTGTGTATTGTGTCTGATGTGTTTAACCATGAAATTTAATTTTTATTTTTAAGACACCCCTCCCTCTACATAGCTCAAAGATACAGATTGTCAAATTAGTTGTAACGTTATGGTAGAATGAATATCTGTAATTGTCATCTGATATTTATTTTGTTATTCGTAATCATGGAGTAAATTATAGAATGAGATTCGTGTTTAATTTATTAAATCAAAATCACGAGATCTTGTTATTATCTGTTACTAATTTTATTATTATTATTATTCTAATTTATGCGGCTGTGTACAAGCTTGTAACATTTTTATCTGGGTGAATGCTTGAATGTTTGTTGTTGTTAATTGGGAATGAATTCTGCTTTCTTATAGAGATACACAATATATACATGAATAAAACAATACTATCATATAATGTTGTGCAATGTTGTTTTATTTGTGGCCTGAAACTGTGGGCTCTTAAGTTTAGAGGAAACACAAGTGTCTGAACGATGAGGCGTCGCAGAGTTGCGTCCCTTAGCTGGCAGGAGATAGGATGCTCTCTGATAATGATATACTGAAATACTAAAACATTCACTCTGAAGATTAAGTTTTGGTTTTGGTTTGTTGTTTAACGCCGCACTCAGCAATATTACAGCTGTATGACGGCGGTCTGTAAATAATCGAGTCTGGACCAGACAATCCAGTGATTGAAATCATGATCATCGATCCACGCAATTGGGATATATGACATGCATCAACCAAGTCAGCGAGCCTGACCACCCGATCCCGTTAGTCGCCTTTTACAACAAGCATAGTCATCTTTTACGGCAAGCGTGGGTTGCTGAAGACCTATTCCACCCCGAATCTTCACGGGTCTCTGAAGATTAAGGGGAGGGCTCAAGTTATATTGCATTTTCAGCAAGTCTATGAGTAGTTAACACAAACTTTAACCGTTTCCTGACCCAATGTGAAGCCATGCATGTATCAATACCCGATTACCCCAATAACCCACAAGGCCCCTTTAATTATACCGACTTGACGCATGTAGACGTATATGTATTGGGCGTGGAGACTGGACAGTGGAACCACTGGTCAAGCCGTCAGATCTATACATTGTGTTGAGTGTGAGGGAGAGAGTTTCGTTCTCCCCTCAATCACTGATGTAAGCAGCTCTAGTGGTTATGTAATGGAGAAATAATGAGAATATGTGGAATCCGGAAGTAGAATCAATAGCCCCGTACATGAGTGAGTGAGTTTGATTTACGCCGCTTTTAGCAATATTCCAGCAACATCACGGGGGACACCAGAAATGGGATTCACACATTGTGACCATGTCGGGTATCGAACCCGGGTCTTCGGCGTGACGAGCGAACCTTTTAACCACTAGGCTACCCGACCGCCCCCGTATATGAACTGATGGGGAATTAGGTATATAGTCATGTATATAGTCTCAGTCCCTGAACCACATTTCCCTTCCACCCATCCCTAATTGTAATGCTATAGCTCTAAAATATAACTTCGAAATTGACAATTCTAGTTGCATTAAAGGCGCCCTTGTTCTATAGGCAGATGGGCATGTCCCCCATATGTTGTTGGTTTGTTGTTTAACGCCGCACTCAGCAATATCCAAGCTGTATGGCGACGGTCTGTAAATAATCGAGTCTGGACCATGGACAAGGTAATCCAATGATTGACGTCATGAGCATCGATCATCGCAATTGGGGAAACGATGACATGCATCAACCAAGTCAGCGAACCTGAACAAGCCGATCCTGTTAGACGCCTCTTACGGCAAGCATGGGTTGCTGAAGACCTATTCTCAACCCGGATCTTCGCAGTTCCACTCATGCAGGAAGGTGAAGCGCCATGTCGTCCTGGGTCCAAATCGGGCACTGGACCCGTGAAGATCCGAGGTAGAATAGGTCTTCAGCAACCACTGCTTGCCATAAACAGCGACTGTGCTTGTCGTAAAAGGCGACTAACGGAATCGGGTGGTCAGGCTCGCTGACCTGGTTGATGCATGTCATCGAATCCCAAAAGCGTGGATCGATGCTCGTGACATCAGTCACTGGGTTGTCTGGTCCAGGCTCGATTATATACAGACCGCCGTCATATAGCTGGAACATTGCCTCTTACGGCAAGCATGGGTTGCTGAAGACCAATTGTTTCCCAGATCTTCACGGGTCTCACCTGTCCGTAACTATAAAGTATTTTCTGTTTCACGGCAAGCATATCTACATAGATAAATATAGTTACCACTGTAATCTATATTAATTGAAGTGAATAAACAATGAAAATAAAATATCCTTGTATTAATTCAATATATTTTTAAAACGTTTTCAAGCCCCAGGGTAAATATATAGTAGCAACAAACGAGTGACACTGTGTTCAGAAGATTGATTTGAGAAATACAGAACGGTACACGTGTACTCTCATGCACAGACACACAGCTATTTATATATAAGATCCCCACGCTGAAATAGTTATGAAGAAAGTATTGGAGCCAATAATATTTTTATTTTTGTCGAGAGTCATCTTTAAAGGATTATTATAGCGCAAACGGTCTTCCTGCTCATCCGGCTTAAGGCATGTGCATTGACATAATGCTTTTAAAGTATGACGATCACGCACGCACTTACGCACGCACACAGAAATAGATGCAGAACACGCACGCACGCACAGACACACTGTCCATCATTTCCCCCAAATTCCCCAACCTGAAGATTGACTGTACTCTATTATTTCAGAACAGGGCACTGCTGCCCCAACTGTCCTCCACGCTGTACAAAATACACATCCCAAATATTGCACATTCTCACTGATACAGCCGAGCGAACACATATAAATAGCAGAGGGTATTTGGCCTCTCGCACACTATACATGGATATCTGTTCATGTATATAGACTTCACTCATTCTGTATATAAACTGCTGCGTGAAATACAGGTGGGGTGAGGTGAAATGGGGTTTAACGTCGCGTTCAAGATTATTGCACTTATATAGCGACGTGCATGCACGTGTGTGTGTGTGGCTGCTTGTACTAGTCCTGACTCCCCCACTCAGACACAGTATACTGACTCCGAACCGACCAGTCCTTGTTTTAACCCCTTATGCCGAGGGCAGACAAGTACAATCTACTAACGTCTTTTGGTATGACGCGGCCAGGGATCGAACCCCGGGCCTTCCGCTCTCCGGGCGGACGCTCTACCACTAGACCACGGAGGCGGTCTGCGCAATATAAAGTATACACATATGTTTAATGGTGGCTAAAATAAAACAAACAAGAAATGATTATTCGATAGTGATGGTTTATTTTGTTTTTTAAACGGATATCGTAGTTGTGTTTGGATATTAAGTTTGTAGTGTTTCGGCGAGTGTTTCCAGGCTTTTGACGTTTGTCATATTTTTAAATCAATTTTCAAATGTATACTTTATTTTGTCCGGCAGCTTATTTGTGTACATGTTTACAAAAGAGATACGTACTGTATATAAACAGAACTCAATGTCTCTCGTGAACATCGTCATGCATGACAGAGATTCACAGTAAGAACGTGGAGATTGCAAAGAATATACAAAATCTTTTGGTCTTTGATTGTTACGTTAATGATATGGCAGAACGTACTAACAATGGAAGACACAAGCTAATTTTGGTTAATTACGTCCTCGTGGTATTTCTCCTCGTAAGACGCTGTATACTATCGTTAGGTATGACACACAAACACGTCATACTTCTATTCGTTGATCGAACACGCTTAGTCGCAAGGTAGACGCTTAGTCGGTTCTCCATATATGGGCACGTATTGCATAATCGATTTTCAGATACCATACACCTTTAAATGGCCAATAGCTCTTACAAGCTTTACTATCACACAGAAACCAAAGTAAGAAAATCAATGAAACTTCCAATAAGATGTTAATTCTGTGTTAATGAATACCAAAATAATTCACTTTTGATTAAATGGGTACAGATATTTATCATATTTATGAAGTTCTTGTACATATTAGATGATTGTGTGGTCGTTATTTTTAATTATTTAAAAATATATTTTTTTATTGTTGTTAGCATTTAACTAAACATTTCCTTTTTCTATTAACAGACTTTGGAATTATACATAGAAACGACTCAGCGTGGAAGAAATGACAAAACCTGTCATGACTTGAAAGATTTAGAGTTATCGTTCCTGATCCAGGGGTCGCTATAGTGTTGTGCGTGAATTTCACCAGTGGACAACTTCTATCCGTACAGATCATATTTACTTGGGAATCTCGAGTTGCAGGTTAACGACATCAAGGTAGTATATACTTGCAAATACACTAGTGTCAGCTGTCGAAGAATAGAAGTATTTGAGTGACATATACCTCTGTTGTAGACATTTATTGTGTCGTCTGAACCTCCTTGCCAACAAACATGGCGTCATGTTTGGATTTTCACAAATGGTCCAATAACCCAAGTTTTCGTCGTATGATGATGGCCACATTGTGTATGTAGAAACTAGAATCTTAATATGAACTTTTGGCGTCTGGAAAATAGTACAGCTTGACATTTTAATGATCTGATGGGCCTATTCCACCTGGTAAAGAGTCGAATCAATTGCCCTATGTGTCTCAGAAAGTGTCATACACTATTATTAGATGATATTTCTTATAGAATCTTACATAAATGTATATTGTAAATTTTGATGGGAGGTGATATGCCTTAGGGTTCATTGTCAAATATAAATTATCATGGCTATCAGAGAAGTCAAATGCAATCACAGCGATAGACACTAACATATTTAGTCCACTAGTCCTTATAATGACAACATATAGCAAAACACTTAAAAATGGCAAATTTTACCCATTATGATACCTTAGCTACTTGGCAGTTTGGTAAGGACTATAAGACTAATGCCAGTTTCTTACGCTGCAATTAAGAGTCCAAAGTTACTACTGGTACCCGACCCTACCCGTTGTTGGCCTCAAGTTGGGTACAAAATATCCTGTTGGGAATTGTTAAACTGGGGTTCTGGCAAAACATATATAAAGTGATCTGATCATGCATACACTGAAGTTGACTGAAGCTTTGTCATTACTCAATCATGTAAAAATCAGAAGGAATGCGACATGGTCTGAAAGAAATGCGAACATTAACAACTTAAAGTATAACCATGGAGTTTTATTGTTTTTGTCATTAAACATTATTTCATGTGACTAACTGTAGGTCTGGATAGTCGAGTGGGATAAATTTCCATCATTTTGGCGAGTCTCAAAGCTTATTCTGCAGACAATCTCACTCAAATCAGATCTTAGTTCTCGCTGCTGCTAAACAAAGATCTGAGGATATCCCATTACGGGTCACGTCAGACCCACTTTTGTGACCGACCAATGGAATTACTGACAAGAAGTTGATATTAGCCAATCATAAGGCAGCTTTATTGTGCTTTATGGCACTAATTTCAAATTGGCGACTACGCTTCGAAACATATTTTGACAAATTCTCGCTTATATTTTATAAATTTGAAACCTGAACAAAAGAACATTCTTGAATGGCTAATATATGGTCTAGATTGTATAGATTCAGTCATTAAGCCCGTAACTGTCGTTCGGAATACCCCGTTTTAAGGTTTTCGGGGCTGCATGATTAGAAATCACATTCCGACTGTCACTTTCATGATCTGGTAAGCGACGCTCTGATTGGTCGGATGAAAGGTCGTTCTGACGAGAACCCTAATGCAATGTCCTCAGATCTTTGTTTAGCGGTAGCGAGAACTAAGATCTGATTTTAATGAGATTGTTCTGCAGATGAAGTGGTATGATGTCTTCCATTGTTCATGACCTCACAAATTGATACCAAAAAGTCGTTTGACTGATAGGTGTACTTCAGTGATTATCTGTAGGGTTGACAGAACTTGACAATGACATGTCTTACATTTTACTTAAATTTCTTTCTTAAAATAACAAAAAAAAATTAAATATAGAGAATGTCCAACCTGAAACTGTTGGTTATTCTGTAAATATTCCATTATCAAGGAGAATGTCAAGACACGCAACCAAAACACATTTCTGTTTAACATGTTTAATATACTTGAGCATTGTTGAGTAAATTGAGTAATACTGTTTGAAAACACACTGATAACATTACCTCCTTAGAATATTTTCGACTATCTCTGTGGTCTAGTGGATAGAGAGCCTGCCTGGAGAGCACAAGGTTGATGGTTCGAACCCTGGCTGGAGCATACCAAAAGATGGTACTTGTTGTTACCCTGCCTGGTATTAAGGGGATAAGGCAAGGACTGGTTGGCTCAGAGTCCGTAAACTGAGCCTGAGTGGAGCCATGTTGTCAGTGGTCAAGCACATATGTGTAACTATATAAGTGCAATAACCTAGAATGCACAGTTAAATACCATTTCATCTCACCTTAGAATATTTTCGTTTGTCCATACCATGCAGCATGATGCAAACCCCACTCTGCCCTTTGGTCACTGACCTCTGAAAAACAAGAAACAGATCAGCACTATGGCCTCTCCTTACGTTAGGGATACACGACCCATGGGTGACCCATCATTAGCTCTGCTGTGACAATGACAACCTTCATCTTCACATCAAGGATTTTTTTATGATTGGAAGGCTATTTTTAGTGACTTGTTTTTTTGGTTGGCCTACAAAAAAAAGCTATGGTAGTCAACTTGTTGAGCTTTTTCTACAATAATGTACAAATGGATATATGATATTGATAGTCTTTTTTTTTAATACACCATGTACACCATGGATGATCAATGCTAGGTTTCCTTGACTGACGCTAACTTGCTGTTGTCCCTGGTTTTGTGTTTTTGTCTGTTGTGAGTATGAGCTGACGGTGTTTTGTTGAATTTTGATCATGATGATAAATAAGTAGTTAATAATTATAATCATTTGATAATGTAGCTGTACTCTTTTTTGCTTCCTGGTTTAGTCTGTCAATTGTATTCCAGATGCCCAGCATCAAGCTACAGAGTTCCGATGGGGAGATATTTGAGGTGGATGTGGAGATTGCTAAGCAGTCCATCACAATCAAAACCATGTTGGAAGGTGAGATGGCAGTGGTTAAAATGTCACAATAACCTGAGCCTGTTAGATGAGTCTGTGTGATGCTTTATCATGTAAATTGTACTTTGTCCAGTGTATGACATTGAAACAAATCACTTATCATGCTTATAGTTATAGCCCATTGGGCTATCAAGAAGTTTATTCTGGTAACCCAGAACTTTAGAAGGTAGCCCACCGTCTGAAAGGCTTACATCAGGTCGTCTATTCTGTTTTCAGAATAACCTTGTTTGTTTACAAACAAGAGAAAAGTCTGGTCACATGATATGCAAATTAGCCCGTGACAGTGGTGTAATGCTAAGTCACCACTGCACTGGAGTGTTTCCTGAGTAACCATCATCAACCAATCAAATCGACTGTAACAGTCTTGAATAGCTTCTATGTATTATTAGACTACCATGCTGGGAGATGTTGTCAAATTGACTGTAACAATCTTGAATAGCTTCTATGTATTATTAGACTACCATGCAGGGAGATGTTGTCAAATTGACTGTAACAATCTTGAATAGCTTCTATGTATTATTAGACTACCATGCAGGGAGATGTTGTCAAATTGACTGTAACAATCTTGAATAGCTTCTATGTATTATTAGACTACCATGCTGGGAGATGTTGTCAAATTGACAAAATGAGCAAATTCTGAACAAAGTTTAAACGTGTAAGATAACTTACTGCTACAATGAACAGAGATGCCAACCATTACACTTTTGGCGTAATAATAATCACTGTCGGTTCAAATGCTGGTTTGCTCTGATTATGTTATAGTTTGTCAGCACCATTCTCATGCTTGTGGTTTCACCAAAGTGGTAAACATCTAAAACCTGCATCACTTCAGGCTTTCCTCCGAAATCGATCGGATGTGCCATGATATAACTGAAATGCTGTTCAAAGCGATGTTAATCCCCACATTCACTAACAATGACAAATATATGTTTGAAACTCCAAATCAATTTATGTGATTAAGCAGTTACATGAGTTTACAGCTAAATATACAATACAGCAAGGCACACATTCAATGGATAGACATAAATGTGGCCAAGATAATGTCTAATGAATTGTAAGCTGACTCAGCAGTCAGCAGTGCTCTGTATGGCAATTTTTCTGGAACACTGTTTTAGTAAATTGATACAGACATTCTGGTATTCTTTGGTTTGGAGACTGCTGTTTTCAGATCAAGATGCAATCTGTGCCAAGCACTTTTGAGTCTTCTAATCCAAACTTCTCTTTTGGCATTATTTTCAGACTATATTGGTATATTGACCTGTACAAGCTGATCTTACTAGACGATAAGAATTGTGCTAGACATGGCCTTTGGGGATTAGTGATGAAGGCACAGACGGAAGATGTACAATTATGTTTAATAGACAACTAATTGGACAAGTAATTTACATCCAGAAATATCCCAGGACCATTGAACATGTGGAAATCTATCAGGTTATGTCTCATTAAGACAAGCTGAGTGATAAATTACAGTTGATGGGTTACCATGGTTTCATTATATTTTCAAAGTGAACTTCGTTGTTTTCAGATCTGGGAATGGACGAGGATGAGGAAGAGCCAGTCCCTCTTCCTAATGTGAATGCAGCCATCTTGAAGAAGGTGGTACAGTGGTGCACCTACCACAAGGATGACCCCCCACCACCAGAAGACGACGAGAACAAGGAGAAGAGAACGGATGATATCTGCTCCTGGGATGCAGAGTTCCTGAAAGTCGATCAGGGAACCCTCTTTGAACTTATCCTGGTACGTTCATCATCTCCCACAGTGTTAGGCATTGAACAAGTTCATCATCTTCCACAGTGTTAGACATTGAACAAGAATTTTTTAATGTTAAGTTTAAACGATATACTGCTTTTGCATTGGACAAGCGTCTAGTCGCTTAGGTATTTGAATGACACATTTTGATGTTCATATGTTTTTGATAAGACTGTATTCTTGAAAACACTGACAGACTACATACACATTTTCAGGGAAATTTCCCAAGCAGGAAAAAATACAGAAGCGTTATTTCTGAGCATTTTGCAAATCTTGAACATAGCTTTTTTGCGTGCATTAGGTTAAGAGTTTGACTGCATTTCCCTGATGGAATATGTTCACTGGTACATAATTATCAATTGACCCTCTGTGTTTGCAGGCTGCCAACTACTTAGACATCAAGGGTTTGTTGGATGTCACATGCAAGACTGTAGCGAACATGATCAAAGGCAAATCTCCAGAAGAGATCAGGAAAACATTTAACATTAAGAATGACTTCACACCTGCTGAGGAAGAACAGGTAACTTTCAGTGATGTCCCCATCAGGGTCAAAGTGGCCTTAAATTTCTGTGGTGAACTGCCATCTTGGTGATCTAGTCAGTGACTACGCACTTATCCGTGTAAACCACGACCACCTATCTAACACCGATGAAGTGAATGTGAATACCACAACAATGTGTTACAAGCATGTTCATAAAAATGTTAATACAAATGATCAGTAAGAGACGTGAACATTCGAGGTAGAATAGGTCTTCAGCAACCCATTTTTAATAGGTGACTATGCTTGTCGTAAGAGGCAACTAATGGGATCAGGTGGTCAGGTTCGCTGACTTGCTTGATGCATGTCATGATATTCCAATTGAATGGATGGATGCCCATGATATCAATCACTGGATTGTCTGGTCCAGGCTTGATTATTTACAGACCGCCATCATGTAGCTGGAATATTGCTGAGTGCGGCGTTAAACAAAAAACAGACAATCAGTAAGGACATGTAAGAACTTCTCAGGTAAGTATGGAAAACAGCTTATTGATCAATAGCTGTGTATTTGCAAAAAAACTTAGTGTTGCAATATATTGCGATACAGGTATCTGTATTGTGATATGTATATACCCTCTAGGATACAGTGAATGGTGCCACGAGGCACTTTCAGGCCAATAGACACAATTGTTGGACACATCCTTGTGTGTATGGGAAAGTGGAACATTATATTTGTTTTCATGATTACTGTTCACCCATGTGTAATCACTGTTGCAATTTATTGCAAATGGTTGCCTCTGCTTATGCTCATATGAGCTAGTATGAAATGAAGTTTGAGTTCCACATTGCAATCGTAGCACTACGGCTGTCGTAAGTCTATTTTAAGTATGGTAGTCTGTTAGAAACTGGCACTAGTCCTGTAGTCCATGCTAAACTGCCAAATAGTTAAGGTATCATAAGGACTTTTTTGGGGTCCATTTGGGTTTTGCTATAATATTATGTTATCATTATAAGGACTAGTGGACTGAAAATGTTAGTTTCTACAGATGGAAGTTACGATCACCACAGTGCCAAGATTGTTTTGTTGAAAGGCCCAAGACCTTTTAGATATCAGTTCTAATTTTTGTGTGTATATTTCAGGTTCGCAAGGAGAATGAGTGGTGTGAAGAGAAATGAGCCGTGGGCGTGGCAAACACCTCCCGGCTGGCAGTACAGGTATTTATGGTTGCCAGCTGTCCGTCATCAATAACAACATCCACTGTTGGGGGAACCAACATCATCACCATTATCACCCTGATGCCATCATGTCATGCAGGATGTAACCAGCTCTTAATTGTTAACTTCTGGAAGGATCAGCTATGGCGAAAACAAATTGGAACAGTTTCTTTTTGAAACCTGCAAGGAGTAATTACATACAACTTTTCAATAAATCCACTTTACGGTGTTCAAGGATATTTTGCCATGCTTACGTAGATGGAGTTACTTGTGTTGTAACATTGATTTTGAAATCTATCCGGACCAATATTTTGATATTGGAAACAGTTTCGTTTATAGAATAATCCTATTTATGTAGAGATTGTGTGACTTCCGTCACAGGGAAGTGATCCTAGGTTTCCAAGTTGGAGTCATGCTTGGTGGTGACTCACATTCTTGCAGCAGCTGTGGGCGCTGTGATATGGACTATAAGAACATTGTGGATATGTACATTTCTCTCATTGCTGTCTGACAACTACCATATGCGCTAATTTCAGTTAAGTTGATTGTCCGGCAACTGGATCCTGTTGACAACATCTTGTCATTTTTGTAATTTAGTGTTTTAGATTGTGAGAATATTTGAGACAGTATTTTATCTGCAAGTTTCAGAATGTTCGGTTACAGCACACAATGAAGCACTGAGAAATGTGGAAAAAGATTTGTGAAAAATATCCCCTTAAGCGACGACTAAAAATGTGAGCATTAGCTTTGATGAAAACTGTTTGATTGTTTCGATTTTTCCTGACCACCCCCCTCAGGAGGTATTTTCCACTTGATATTTGTTTGAACACCTTCCACCTGGTTTGTCCATACACAACATTTCTCTTCTTTTTGTACAAAGCGATAAAAAAATAGTGTGGTAAATAAAATGATGTTTTAACTTCAACCATGTTATCTTGTTCTTGTGATCGTTTGTGGATATTTTAGCTACATGATACAGCATGATTTGACTGCAGGGCACATAGGGTATTGTAGAGACTGACCCCTGTGCATGATAACCAATATGAGAGAGACAATAATGTATTCTAGTACATCCGTTTACAATTTCTAAAAAAGTATTAATGCAATATTGTGAGACAGGGTTATGTTATTGTCAGTTAGAGGTCTACAGGCTTAAGATTTGTTTGGTTTTTCTTTGGAAATCCTACTTCAAAGGTCAATTGCATTTTGGCAAAGGTCAAGGTCACATTTCCTACAGTAGTTTCATCATATTTTGTCATAATATGGTGTAAAGATTGCTGATATTAGAGGACCTGAGGACCTCTCTTTGAAACTTTATTATCCCCTGCCCAACGAAGTTGGCGGGGGATATAGAAACGGGCTCCGTCCGTCCGTCACGTTCCGGAGCATAACTCATAAACCGTTCAATATTTTTTCATCATACTTTGCAGGTCTGTCAGGTACATGCTGAACTGGTGCCTTTTGCTATTGAGAAATTTTAGAATTTTTTATTTTTTTACGCATGGCAATAAGGTGGACTTCGGTTCGGTGAGGGTAGGGTTCGTTTCCGGAGCATAACTCATAAACCGTTCAATATTTTTTCATCAAACTTTGCAGGTCTGTCAGGTACATGCTGAACTGGTGCCTTTTGCTATTGAGAAATTTTAGAAATTTTTGTTTTTTACGTTTCCATGGCAACAAGATGGACTTAGGTTCTGTGAGGGTAGGGTTCATTTCCGGAGCATAACTCATAAACCGTTCAATATTTTTTCATCAAACTTTGCAGGTCTGTCAGGTACATGCTGAACTGGTGCCTTTTGCTATTGAGAAATTTTAGAAATTTTTGTTTTTTACGTTTCCATGGCAACAAGATGGACTTAGGTTCTGTGAGGGTAGGGTTCGTTCCCGGAGCATAACTCATAAACAATTCAATATTTTTTCATCAAACTTTGCAGGTCTGTCAGGTACATGCTGAACTGGTGCCTTTTGCTATTGAGAAATTTTAGAAATATTTATTTTTTTACTTTTCCATGGCAACAAGGTGGACTTAGGTTTCAAACTCATCTTTTTTTTACAATTTCCATGACAAGTTCCACCTCGGTTAAAAAAGGTTAGGGTTTGTTTAGATTTAATAATGTCATAAATTCTGCAACAGGGGTGGGGGATATAGCCATGGTAGTGGCAAACTCTTGTTTTTGCCTGTATCATGACATTGGTGCTTTGTCATCTTGAGGTTATTGTGAAACATGGGTGTATCATTTATTGCCAGTTACTTTCACTAGTTCAATCTTGAGACTTGGGCAAGTGTTGGTTATCAAGAAGTTGTCTTAATGTCAAGGTCAGAAACTATGTTTTGGGACTTAGTACATGGCGGTACACCAAGACTTTCAGTGTGTGGATGAAATGGCAATGACAGGGCTGTGTTCGCAAGTACTTGCAAACACCCCTGACTGGATTAAATAACAAACACATGGGACATCTGTGATTGACACACCTTGAGATTGCTGTCATTATGGTCAATGTTGGTAGGCTGTGAGCCATAAACATGTATCATTGGTATATCAATCTACTGTAATATGTTTGCAAATTACAAATATATATATTTATTTTTAAATCACATAATATTACTCAATTACAAACATGGCAATTCTTTAAAGTGGACCATTCCAGCAGAATCAATCTTTCCATTAGCTGAGAAGGGGACAACATTCTACATTTGTGTGTGAGACAGTTCAGAGAACCTTACGATGAGGTGAAATTGGGTTTAACGTTGCGTCCAAGATTATTGCACGTGCATGTACGTGTGTGTGTTTGTGTGGCTGCTTGTACTAGTCCGGACTGATGCCGATTTATAGTGCTAGCTCACTGAGATACCATGCCACAGTTTAACATGAATATCCCACTCAGACACAGTATACTGATTCCGAGCCGACCAGTCCTTGTTAAAGCCCCTTAATGCCGAGCATCAGACAGGGTAACAACAAGTACCATCTTTTAACGTCTTTTGGTATGACGCGGCCGGGGATCGAACCCCGGACCTTCCGCTCTACCACAAGACCACGGAGGCGGTCCAGAGAACCTACGATGTGTTATTGTGTCACCATACCATGAAGACTGGCATCTTTTCTTCAATATAGGGTATTGCCCACTTCTCATCACAGGAATATCACACATTGAAAAACAACAACTGTTTTGTTCACTGTAAATTGTTTCCAGTTTATTCATGACAAAAAGTTTGAGACAGAACATTGTCCAAGCAGTGTACACGTTACAGGATATTCAAAGCAAATAAAATGTTGTTTACCTATAGTCAATACTGATGGACCAGCCCACCCACTGTCTGTTGTACAGGTGTAAGGGGACCTGATCATATACTCACCATCAAAACGTGATATGCATCAGTGCACACAACGTCGCCCCAGAAGGCATCTGGTATACACCCAGATCAACAAGATCCATTTGGAAAAGAACATTTTGATTTTGTATCGTTGCTGTTAGGGCTCTATTGCCTCAAACTAGCCCATATTCTATCTCTATGATGACTAAGTATACTATTTAACATTTGCTAAGGGACAAATAGTCATCTAAGGTGTCGTCCCCGGCAAATATTGAATAGTATGGTTGCACACATCCGACTCGGTGTTACGGAAATCGCACTGTGCAGGTGACAAGTCCCCAATCATTTGACCTAACCTTGATCCTATGAAAATACTACTGTGACATTGGTATTACTTTTATGTACAGCATGTATACCCCCAACACTTGTACGAGAGATTCGGGAAGGTCAAGGTCCTTGGTGAGCTCCATCCATTCAAATTTAATGAGCATAATCATGCTTATTGTCATAACAAACAATCTTAATCACCTAGACATCTAACCTTATCAAGAGTCATGCAAGTCACACAACAGAATCATTTACCTGTGAAGTTGGTTGGTTGTGGTAGCAAAATTGACAGGATAAAAATAGAACAATGTTGATTTTAGAAAATAAGGATGTTTATGATTGTCCGACTGTCGATGGAGTGAGGAGCTCGGTTGAAGTGAAAGTTCAACTCAGTTTGCTTCCAATGATAATGAGCGACATTTGAGATCGATCTACAACTTTGATTGAAATGAATCTTGTGTGCTTTGTGACTTCACATTCAGTCAGGGTAGGGTGACATTCTATCACTTGAAGTAGGAAATGAAATTGAACAAAATTTACAGCAGTGGTGATGATAATGGCAACAAAGTCAGTAATTGTAAGTACCGTAGTCAACATATTTAGCAACCTGCCCTAAAATCCGAGATACCTATTTCATTTCCATGTATTTATTAATCATAAAATGATAAGAGATGGAAATGGACACATTTGTCACAACCTTGATTTTGCATTGGAACAAGCAACCCCACAACTGAGAATCAAGAATGCTATATATGTCGGATGCTGACTGGCAGAGGGAAAGGCAAGTCATCTTGTTTCTAGTTCAACACTGATTGGACTGATGTGCCCGACATGTTCGATCTGATATGTAAGATTACTTGGCAATACTTAGCATTTAGTTAAAAGATTTGATGATAAAAACATGTATATCTTGACAAGAAGCATGTATTTTTCAAATTTCCAGACTCATGTCATCATAAACAAGCTCAACATATTTATACATATGCATCTTGGTTGACTGTTTAAGTTATTGGCAATTTACTTATGTTGCCTGTGAAACCTTGTTTCATTCAACAAAGGTTGATAAGCTCAAATAGAAAAAAACTTGTTTCCCCAAACTTGAATAGACCCTCAATGCAGTAGGCAGGCTTGTTGACACAATTCAACTTTTTTCTCCTTCCTTCATTTTAAAACCAACAAAATAAGAGAAATTCACATGAGCATCATACCATACATTTATTCATTTGACACAAAAGGCGACAACAATCTTATGTCTTAAATTAGAAATATGTACAATTTTACAGTGTGAAAGGTTGCAGATACTGCCTCATGGCCACCGCTATCACTACCAGACTGCCGCAACGGTCTCAGCATATAGAAATATTATAGACGATAACAGTTGATTCCGCGAACAGGATCTGCTACGGGAGTCCTTCCCTTTCCTGCTCTGGCTACTGGTCGAACGATTCCTCAGCACCAAAAATCGTCTAATTCTAAAACAACACTAACACGGAGATGGAGTACATTCGTCTAGAATACACATTTACAGAACAGCGAGTTCATTTATCACAGATAAAAAAGGTCTTTAAATTAACAACAAAGAAATTGATTATATTTGGATCGTCAATGGTGTAAACAGAATGAGAAATGAGCTGGTAGTATGCTATTGTATGTCTATTGAGTAATCATGATTGTATTAAAACACCCACGATCAACAACTATGCACAAATATACAAACACCGTACATGGACGTGAAGACAACAACTAACTACGACCTGTGTCCATCTGTCGGTTCGTCAGTCTGGTGTTGCGGTAGGCTGTGGCGTGTGTCACGCCGCGTTAAAGAAGGTATAAAAGTAACAAGCATTAACAACAGAGAGAGCAACAATTTGCCATAACCGTCAGTCGTGGCCGACAGCCCAGCAAATGGCTGTCCGGCTTGACCGACTAACCAGTATACCACAAAGGTAATGAGTTAAGGCAATGTGAAATACCAGCACACACTGGTCGCACAATGATTCAGCACTTGATATGCCAAGCTTAACATATAGCGTCGTCTCTACCTCCCATATGGCCACACACAGATGATGAACACTGTTTTCTAGGTATTATGCGTTGCACTTGTGATGTGACGGGGCACATCATGTGAGTAGAAAATGGCCCAGAGCAGAACACGTCTCCTGCTGTTGGTCGGGCTTGCTGCGTCGTCGGTGTCGCCAGGTGAGTTTGGCAGTTGTGGGTTGATGCCGGTGAGGTGTGGCGACGCCCCTCATACCTCGTCCCCGCCGTGGAAGAAGAAGTTATATTGTTCAATGAGGGTTTGCATGATGTTGACCAGGAACACGGAGTATTGACCCATCTGCTCGTATGATGTGATCTCCACCCGCATCAGCGTCGGCCACCAACATCGAGCCAGGTTGGAATCATCCATGCTGTTGTGCTCGCTGTGTTCAGACACTCTGCAACACAACGCACCCAGATTACACAACGCACCCAGATTACACAACACGCCCAGATTACACAATGCACCCAGATTACACAACGCACCCAGATTACACAACGCACCCAGATTACACAACGTACACAGATTGTACAATGCACCCAGATTACACAACGCACCCAGATTACACAACGCACCCAGATTACACAACGCGCCCAGATGACACAACATACCCAGATTACACAACGCACCCAGATTACACAACGCACCCAGATTACACAACGCACCCAGATTGTACAATGCACCCAGATTACACAACGTGCCCACATTATTCAACATACACAGATTGTACAATGCACCCAGATTACACAACGCGCCCACATTATTCAACATACACAGATTGTACAATGCACCCAGATTACACAACGCGCCCACATTATTCAACATACACAGATTGTACAATGCACCCAGATTACACAACGTGCCCACATTATTCAACATACACAGATTGTACAATGCACCCAGATTACACAACGTGCCCACATTATTCAACATACACAGATTGTACAATGCACCCAGATTACACAACGTGCCCACATTATTCAACATACACAGATTGTACAATGCACCCAGATTACACAACGTGCCCAGATTACACAACATACACAGATTGTACAATGCACCTATGTTACATCATGAAGGGAAAGCATGCACCTCAACATTATAGATACCCAATGTTACAGATGTGACTTATTGCATTGGTAGACCTACATAATCAAGCATAACATCCCACTGAATAGTATGTAACACTTGTATTACCACCTTGACCTACATGTGGCAAGTTCTGAAGCTTTTAGGTTGCTTCACATGTTGAATTTTCATACTTCAATTCAAATTTTATAAAAAACCTAAGTAAACAAGCATGAAATACTCCTATCCCCATCCAAAACCACCATTTTCAGTCTAAGTCAAAGTCGTTGCCATGGAAACCCAAAAAATGAATATTTTAAAAACCTATCAAAAGGCCTATCTATGTGCCAAGTTATGTTAAGATATCTCTCATGGTATTTTGAGTTCTGCTCCTGAAACGAAACGTGACTGAAGGACGGACCGTCAGCATTCATTCCTATATTCCCCTTCCACTTTGGGGAATAACAATATTAGCAGTTACGTACCTGTGTAGATGTGTGATGAGATACTTTAGTACTTCAAAGTTCTGTTTGTATTTCTGATCTGGCAGTTTCTTGAGGACTCCCCGCAGGGCCAGCAACCGACTACTCTTGTCTCGAACACCTGCAACACAATGGCGTTCACATAAGTAAACAAAAGCAGTATTTCCACGCTGGAATTTCTTCTACATCCCATTAGGACTGATTACCAGTTCACAGAGATATTACCCTCGCTTACTGATGGTGCTCTGTGCATTTCAGTGATATTGATATACAATACATTTCCATTGATTTTAAAATCAAATTTAAATTACTTGGTGCAGAACTATACTAAACATACTCTCATGCTAACATGCACCATTCCTAATTCATTTACTGCTGTACATGTATCATTTACTTTTCAGCTGCAATCAAAACAAAATTATTTATTTGTGAAGAAGCAAGAAAATAAGAACATCTAAGTCAAAGGTACCAGAACACCAGAGGCAGAGATCTCTTCAACAGGATCTAGATTAGTGAGACAGAAAGTGATGACGATGCACTTCCCTCTTAATGTGCAAGGCAGGTACTTGCTGAGTGATTAATAACACGGCTTGTGTACAAGCTGTTCCCATAGCATATACAGGAGCTAGGTTAAATGGCGTTCTAGGACACATATCTACTGGCGCAGCAGTGAACGCTGTGTCTACAGTATTAGTTGTGCTCAGACACCTAGCCCCGAGAATAAAACATAAAATACACAAAATAGTGAATGTAAGTAAGATTTCAAGCCAAGTTGTAGCAACTTTTACCTTTTCTGTCTTTTCCATCTAGATGCACAAATGAATTATGTACAGACTCAACCTTTCATACCAAGTGGAAACACATTTACTTTACTTTTTAAGCATTTCCTAGCCTTCATATTCAAGGGCGACATACTTCCAAAGCAAACATTGTGCATCAGATGAAACGTCCCAAGCAACTGAGACCTCATGGTCTGAGATCCAAGGTCCTATCAATACACTTGTAATGACGAATGTTGTACATTGTGGCTGGTTAAAAACCCATATACACTAGTTGTGAAAGTTACATTGTTACAAATTGCAGCTGTTTAGTGTCCTGTATTCCTCCAGTTTAATATGGTGTAACAGATAGCACAGGATTACAAGTAGCTCCTCCTCAGCTAACTGTGTCTGATATATCATGGAAGTGGACTCACACCTTAGATAATATGCGTGTGTGTTTGTTGCTTAACGCCGCACTTAGCAATCTTCAAGCTATATGACAGAGGCCTATAAATCAGATAATCCAGTTATATGGGCAACGACCCACGCAATCAGGGTACGATGACACACAAGTCGCCCATAGGCTGCATACCAGCATAGGCTGCATACCAGCATAGGCAGCATACCAGCACAGGCAGCATACCAGCACAGGCAGCATACCAGCACAGGCTGCCGGGCACCAATTCTAACCAGTCATAGATCTTGTGATAGTAGTAAAAAATCACAGACGTTTACCAGACGAAACTGACAAACACATGGCTTGATAGTTCCCTTTGATCAAGGGCAGACAAAAGAGTACTTGGACAGCAGTTCTAAACACATGGATCCCTACGATGAGCAATGCCAGGGGCAGCACCTACCTGCTGCAATGATGAGTTCGTCGTACAGCTGCACTGGGATGAGGGGCTCGGTCAAGTCCATAAAGAACTGCTTCAAGATGGTAGCCACTGCATTCACCTGGATATCTAGTGAATGGATGTCAGTGTTGATGTCTGCAACAAGGAGGGACAAGGTTAGCGTCTGCTTCTTTCAAGCCATAGCTCCAGATGATTGAGTAATGAAAATCGCTCTCATGACAATATCATATTGTGAATGGCAAGGAAAGTAGGATTTAAGTATTATTTTTGTATTTAACATGCAGTTTTTTGGCTCCATAGCGGGTTTATTCTCCCACTCAGAACTCCATGTGCAGCCTGTTTTCTTTGTGGCGGGGTATAAGGGATTTATTTCTCTCCTACAGCATTCATAAAGATCAGGTGAACCAATCAGATCTCAACAGTCTGACATGGAGGTTAGATCAAATATTTGAGGCAATGAAGCAATGTAGAACAAGGACAGAGAAGTGCAGTATAAGTATTATTTTTTAACTTCTGATATATGTACTGGATGCTAAGGCACTGACCTTCATTAAACTTGGATGTGAGAAGATCCACCTGTCCCTTATTCCCAGGTATTCGGTAGATGCCTTCCGCCAACAGACCTGCAAGTGATGCAACGTGTTAACACAAGGCTCGGACATAGCAGACTAGAGATACGAGTGACCTGACTCGGGGAGAACTATTCCTTCAACAAACAGTTTTCACAGTAACTTTTACAGTATAAGTAAGGATAAGTTAAATCAAGCATGAAAGAGGACTAGGCACTGAAAATCAAATTTCTTTCCATATAACAAAAGAATAAGCACTCTATTGTGAAACTTATTGTCCTAAATTAAATGAGCCTATGTTATTATTAGGTCATGAAGCTGTAAAGCTAGTAAAGACAAGGTCCAGAGTTTCCTGATAATTTTTTGGCTATTATAATGTGAGCACCCCGCAAGCACCCATGATACTCTACATGTTTAACAAGAGTCCCTGAGTGTGGAGCGCTGTGAACTCACCTTCCTGCTCGATGAAGATGATGCACTTCTCCACAAACAGCGGGATGAGGGGGTTGTCGGTGGAGGTGGGGAAGTCTTCCAGGCAGCAGCCGCTCTGAGATGGACCCGAACTCTTGCTGGGGTTCTTCTTCATCTTCCTCTCCTCCTTAAGGCGCTTCTCCTGCAACAAACAACACGGACATTAGAACCTGACTTGATGCAGCAACCTGAGGACCTGTGGAGGGATGGGGCCGACTTAAGGGAAGTTTCAAAACAGGCAATAACTTAAGTTAATTGTTATTTCTTATAATTCATAATATCATAATTATGGTATAACAGTGTTTAAAATAAGGGAGGTGTCCTGACTAGTTGCTCATGGTATCTAAAAAACACATACATGAGTAACAATATTCCAGCAATATCACGCTGGGGGACACCAGAAATGGACTTCACACATTGTACCCATGTGGGGAATTGAACTCGGGCCTTCAGCAAGACGAGCTTTAACCACTCTGCTACCCCACTGCCCCTTTTCACAACAAGGACCCCTTGAGTTCCACTTAATTTGAGTGAGTGAGTTAAGATAACGTCACATCGGCAGTATTTCAGCCATATCGTGACGAGAACTTCATTAATAAGACATATATTCCACTTAATTTGAACACCGGTATATATATTTGTAGTATCTAACACCGTTCGGGGACAAAATTCATAACAAATTCATCACTAAAATAAAATTACTAATTAACACAAATCATCATAACGACCAAATAACGACCCACCATATATTTTTACAAATACAATTTTGGACTCCACATGTATATGCATATTGACCATTCCTTAGTATACTGGCAAGTGTCATCACCTGAGGCCCCTCCTCCTGCCCTCTGTCCAGCCTGGTATAGCCTGCCACACCCACAGTGGAGCACACAGAGGCGGAACAACCCATGACTTCACTTAAGTCTTACTTAAAAGGTTGTTCTCCAAATAATACAACATTCTCTTGCCCAGCAATACGACTCCTTAATCACATCTTATTTTGAATTACAGCATCAAGGAAAAGATCAATAGCAAAATCTAATAAGAGTAACTTGATCACTAAGTTTTAGACTAAGTCAGAAAACAGCTGATCAGCAACACAGTTGTTATAGTGAAAGTCCTAGGGAAACATTCCATCAGTGCCGGAGGCAACAATATCTGTTTCACTATAAAGCACCCACACAAAGAAACACATTTCCAATATCCAAACTACAGCTTGTTGACCACACAACCTAGTTGCCCCTAGCAACCACATAAACAACCCGTGATATTGATCAATGTTCCTTGATCCCTTCCTCCCTCAGTGTAACACTACCTCATTATAAAGTAACACATGAAACACTGCGGTGTCACTTGTTGATTTGTCAACAATGATCACAGAACTATAAGCTACATTGATAATTAGAGTTAGATAAAACAAGAATATGGATAGATAAAAGATAAAATGATATTGCAATAGTTTTCTAGAGATATTTGTCACTATAACAAACACATTATTATTTTTCATATTCATAAAGTATTTGTACATTTGAACCCTATGTTCATTCATCCTCATGAAAACTCTGAACTCTTGACCCTGACAAGAGAATATTGTCTGTCCATCCCAGTTAGCAAGACCAGCTTAACCATGGCAGGGGCTAGGGAAACAAACCAGGGTTTTATCTGGGATTCAAGTGCCCCTGGCAGGCAATTTGAGACTTTTGTTTAGAAGTACAAGCCACTTCTACAAAGCCATAACATTAGTTATTACAATGTAAAATGAATTGGGAAATTTGTAATTCCAATTTTGGACTTTTTACTGACATTTTAGTTGAGATCAAATATCAGTCTCTGAACAGGTCCAGATAAACCCTGTTGACAGCAACAACCTTGTGGGCCACCATGTCAGACATACTGATAGACCGGTCAGCTACTACCAGGATGAGGAACCAGGAACAAGGCCCCCCCCTTGGGTTCATGACAGTCAATGCCTACCTCCTCTTTCTGTCGTCTCTTCTCCTCCTTCTTCCTCTGCTTCTCCGGGTCCCGCATCGTCTTTGACTTCAGTTTCACCAAAAACTGGTTGCCACCATCGTACTCAGTCTCCTCAGCGGGGAACTACAGCACACACAACAGGGTATAAACAAAGGTATTACACATTAGGGATTTAACAAGGACCACTAAAAATTCAATCAGGGCTACTTGATCTACCACAAATATAGTTGTTTGTTAAACGTCGCACTCAGCAATATTCCAGCTGTATGACTGCAGGATGTGAATATCCATGTCTGGGCCAGATAATCCAGTGACACAGTAAACAGCATCAATGCTGTCGAGGTATGCCATACCATCAACAAAGTCACCAAGCATGACCACCTGATCTACTTGGCTGACCAGCATAGGTTGCTTGGGACCGATTCTAACCTGAAATCCTACCAAGGTTATCAAATATACTACTGGCAAGAAGACTGTGATTGCCCAGCTCAAGTACTCACCCGGCTATGGGGCATGGTGGAGTAAGGGGGAATCACCGGCTCAAACTGATTCTCGTTATGAAATGGGCGACCTGGAAACAGTTGCAATGAAATACAAATTATCAAATAACATATATTTTTATGATATAAAATTGATTTAAAAAATCTATACTCAGACCATGTAGCCCTCAAACAGGTCAACAGGTCATTTTTAATTATTCAGTTATTTGTATTCGTGCATACCTGGCGGAGATCCGACAATGTGGTCACTGTCGGACATCGGTGGACTAATGGCTCTCCCTGGACTCTGGCTGACCACGAAGCCCTTCTGGCGGCGGAATGACCGCCTCTTCTTCTCCTTCCTCCTGCCCTGGAGCTCGTCCCCAGTCCCCTCGCTGCCCTCCGACGGGGAGTTGCTACGAACTGCTGAGAGAAGACAGTAGTGAACACCAAACCCCAGAAGAACAGTGATGCTGTGGGATATGTGCTTTATAGCATTGCTCTAGAATCCATACGTACAACAAATCCGATTTTGGTTTCTTCAAATACATCAACTACCATGACATCATAAATTTAAAAAATATCACAATAATGCTGAGTGGACATTTTTTACAAGGCCATTAGCACCAGATCCAGATCTAAATACCCCTTGATATATTTGCTTTGTGAAGATACGAGACGAGACTGGCAGCAAGTTACTTACATTTCCCCCCAAATGTGGTCCCTCGAGGGAGTCCTATCGGCCTCCGTTTGTCTACGGACTGCATGGCACTGTCTTGAGATCTCTGTTTGCCCTTCTTCCTGTAGGGGGTGGGGCGGCGGTTGACCCTGGAGCTCGGGGCCATCTCCTCACCCCGATCACGCTCCAGGGAACTGAACTCGGAGTCTTCTGAATCAGAACCTGTGAAGACATATCAATATATGCTACAATGAACCGTATACCACATCTTTTTTTTATTTCATAGAGTGAAAAACACTTGATTTTTATTTTCTTCTGAGAAAAGTGCATGCCAATAACGAAGACATCCACCCCTCCATCCTTTCCTTCCACTTAAACTGATGCATAGCGCGTTACACCATCACAAGTAATTATCCAATGTTTTCCCAGACCTGACTAACCATGTATGTTTGCAGGTACTACCGCGTCAGAGGCTGCCTGCATGTACTGGTGTCATCCACACAGGTGTTTGTGCCTGCTTTCATCAATCTCTAGAAGACAACTGGTTTCAACAACCTACCTTTTTCTTTCTTGCCAGACGAGGACTTGACACGATGAAGTTTTCCCCGAGGTAGAGCGTCCTGCACTGTTCCGTAGTCGTTCTCCAGAGGCTCAAACGTGTTCACTGCATCCTGGAGAAGGCACAAGGGAAGATTAGTCTACTGTCTACTGCAGGCACCAGAGAGGAATCGGTCTACTGTCTACTGTAGGTACCAGAGAGGAATCGGTCTACTGTCTACTGCAGGTACCAGCGAGGAATCAGTCTACTGTCTACTGCAGGTACCAGAGAGGAATCAGTCTACTGACTACTGCAGGCACCAGAGAGGAATCAGTCTACTGTCTACTCTAGGCACCAGAGAGGAATCGGTCTACTGTCTACTGCAGGTACCAGAGAGGAATCAGTCTACTGTCTACTGCAGGCACCAGAGAGGAATCGGTCTACTGACTACTGCAGGTACCAGAGAGGAATCAGTCTACTGTCTACTGCAGGCACCAGAGAGGAATCAGTCTACTGTCTACTGCAGAGAGGAATCTTGTCCTTCGTTAGAAACGTACTAGTCCACTAGTCCTTATAATGATAACATATAGCAAAACCCTTAAAAAGGACACATTTCTGATAGGACTAGTGCCAGTTTCTCACCCTGATGTCTGTTTACAATATGCTGAGTTGGGCATTACAAAGCAGAGCAACAATACATTTATCTGTGAACCTCTGCAGAGACAGTAGACCCCACTAAGCAGAGCAACAATACCGTTATCTGTGAACCTCTGCAGAGATAGTAGATCCCACTAAGCAGAGCAACAATACATTTATCTGTGAACCTCTGCAGAGATAGTAGACCCCACTAAGCAGAGCAACAATACAGTTATCTGTGAACCTCTGCAGAGACAGTAGACCCCACTAAGCAGAGCAACAATACATTTATCTGTGAACCTCTGCAGAGACAGTAGACCCCACTAAGCAGAGCAACAATACCGTTATCTGTGAACCTCTGCAGAGATAGTAGACCCCACTAAGCAGAGCAACAATACCGTTATCTGTGAACCTCTGCAGAGATAGTAGACCCCACTAAGCAGAGCAACAATACAGTTATCTGTGAACCTCTGCAGAGACAGTAGACCCCACTAAGCAGAGCAACAATACAGTTATCTGTGAACCTCTGCAGAGACAGTAGACCCCACTAAGCAGAGCAACAATACAGTTATCTGTGAACCTCTGCAGAGATAGTAGACCCCACTAAGCAGAGCAACAATACCGTTATCTGTGAACCTCTGCAGAGACAGTAGACCCCACTAAGCAGAGCAACAATACAGTTATCTCTGAACCTCTGCAGAGACAGTAGACCCCACTAAGCAGAGCAACAATACAGTTATCTGTGAACCTCTGCAGAGATAGTAGACCCCGCTAAGCAGAGCAACAATACCGTTATCTGTGAACCTCTGCAGAGACAGTAGACCCCACTAAGCAGAGCAACAATACAGTTATCTGTGAACCTCTGCAGAGACAGTAGACCCCACTAAGCAGAGCAACAATACAGTTATCTGTGAACCTCTGCAGAGATAGTAGACCCCGCTAAGCAGAGCAACAATACCGTTATCTGTGAACCTCTGCAGAGATAGTAGATCCCACTAAGCAGAGCAACAATACAGTTATCTGTGAACCTCTGCAGAGATAGTAGACCCCACTAAGCAGAGCAACAATACAGTTATCTGTGAACCTCTGCAGAGACAGTAGACCCCACTAAGCAGAGCAACAATACAGTTATCTGTGAACCTCTGCAGAGATAGTAGACCCCACTAAGCAGAGCAACAATACCGTTATCTGTGAACCTCTACAGAGATAGTAGACCCCACTAAGCAGAGCAACAATACATTTATCTGTGAACCTCTGCAGAGATAGTAGACCCCACTAAGCAGAGCAACAATACAGTTATCTGTGAACCTCTGCAGAGACAGTAGACCCCACGCAGCAGTGTGGGAAGCCTGTGTTGTATACACCAGCCACCTGAGGGGCGGTATCAATATAGTGCCTACCTTCACTGTACAGTAGTCAGCAATCTCAATGGGCTCAGGCACTGCCAGAGGAGCCTGCACTCTACCGCCGGACATCTTGGGCCGATCATGACTTCCTTGACTACCTCGAGACTAAAAAATAAGCAATATTTATTCCAACCATTTTTAAAAACTAAACAATCAAATATATCATAAAATAATAATTATTTTTTTTTTTTTAACCAAAAACAACAAAAGACCTGTTAGATTGGTGTTCTTAGAAGTTGGCAAGTAAGAGTAAACACAAGATATGTCATGGATGATGACTTCTTTACTCTATAACGATGCTAGACAGAATAACGGAAGAAAGAAGTTGACATCCATAAACTATCTTGCCTTTAAAATGGACAAAATCATAAAATGAAACCTTATTTGTATTTATAATGTTGTTACCTGTGACCGTCTATGAGCCCTGGTTTCCTGCGGACTGTACAGGTCGTCCGCCCACACGGCATCCTCGGGGGACACCGGGCCGTAGCGCGGGCGCAGATCCATACTGTCCCCCATGCTCTGGTGGCAGTACAGGTCATTGTCTGCCCAGCCTGGGTGGTGGTGCATGGCGCCGGCCGTTTCATATAGGTTGTTATCCACCCAGCCTACAAGTGAAAACACACAGCATAAGATAAAGACATGTAGAAACGTGTTGAATGTGCTAGTGGAAAATGCATTTATTAACCTGTAATATTCTAGGTGTAGACCCATGACATTCCCAATACAGAACGTAAAATAACAACTTGATCTTTGCATTTAGAAGTTATACACATAAGGAAGAGAATTTATGGATGTCAACTTCTGTATTATGAGGACAGGTGATGAAGGAAGCCTATACTACAAAACGCTGTCTTCCTCATATTAAGCGAGTGAGTGAGTATGGTTTTACGCCGCTTTTAGCAATATTCCAGCAATATCACGGCGGGGGACACCAGAAATGGGCTTCACACATTGTACCCATGTCGGGAATTGAACCCGGGTCTTCGGCGTGACGAGCCACCGCTTTAACCACTAGGCTACCCGACCGTCCTCCTCATATTAAAGAAGCTGATCCATCAATTCTCTTCCTTAACTTGATATTGACATTCTGCAATAAACACCTGACAAAAAGGTTTCTATCCAGAGAAAGTGTTCATGTTGCCAGACAACTAGATGACAATTTTCATCATTCCCAAATGTTATTACTGACAGTTTGTCTGAGTTCTAAAAACAAAGAAATATTTCCCGAAACATCATGGGGGACTGTTGTAGCCTGCCCCAGGGTACTTAGATCCAGATCAGCCATTTCAACAACAGACAACATTCAACATGGCCACTGACTGCACACAAGACATGCCGGTGACGCTACAGTCGTACAAACATCAGTCATATATGAAACATCTAGGACATACAAACATCAGTGATATATAAAACATCTAGGACTTACAAACATCAGTGATATATAAAACATCTAGGACATACAAACACCAGTGATATATAAAACATCTAGGACATACAAACATCAGTGATATATAAAACATCTAGGACATACAAACATCAGTGATATATAAAACGTCTAGGACATACAAACATCAGTGAAACAATCAACACAGAAAAAGGCAGTCTAACTGCATAAAAAGCCTGATTAACAAACAGTTATTTTTATAACAGTTGAGTTCTCATTAACTGTTCAGAAATATCTCGGCCACAAAAGTCAATAAAAATTTATTTTTCTCAGTGAAATATTACATTCACCTATCTAAAGAAACAATTCAAGACCCTTGCAGTTAGTATTAAATCAAAAGAAATCACACTTACTACTAATAAAAATATACTATGAAACAAAAATGCTTTAACCTATAAACAAAAAACAAGTTGTATACTCTCTTCTACCTTAAATATGTTTACTTTCGTGAGAACAGAACTACTGTCAATACCACTCTCTTCTACCTTAAATATGTTTACTTTTGTCAGAACAGAACTACTGTCAATACCACTCTCTTCTACCTTAAATATGTTTACTTTCGCCAGAACAGAACTACTGTCAATACCACTCTCTTCTACCTTAAATATGTTTACTTTCGTCAGATGTAAAACAGCCCTGTTAAACATTGCATTGCCCTTTTACAAAAATTATTCTCTAACAATCAAATACACATGGGATTTCTACTGTCAATAGGACAAAATCTTACATACACTCTGCATACATTTTTCTCTTTGACAAATAATTTTAAACACAATGCTATCTTCACCATACAAACTTAAGGAAGAGAGTTTATGGATGTCATCTTCTTTTTTTCACAACGTTGTGTTCCTCATAATATAGAAGTTGACAACGTTGTGTTCCTCATTATAATGAAGTTGACAACATTGTGTTCCTCATAATAAAGAAGTTGGCAACGTTGTGTTCCTCATAACAAAGACGTTGGCAACGTTGTGTTCCTCATAATAAAGTTGGCAACATTGTGTTCCTCATAATAAAGGAGTTGGCAACGTTGTGTTCCTCATAATAAAGAAGTTGGCATAGATAAATTCTCTTCCCTAGGAGTATCACTTCTAAATGCCTTTCAAAGACATCATACAAACCTATTTTCATTTTCTTATAGGGATGGTAATATCCACTACATAGAAGCACGCTGTCCAGAAACATGTTTGTTTGATAAGACAATCTTGGAATGTTCAGGTATGGGTTGCTAGCACATGTCCATGTATTCTGTCCACACAACAGACTTCTGTATATATATGTGCTCCCCCAATCTCCTTTATCAACACCCTCACAAAGCCAAGCGCTGGCACCCCTCACACTATTGTCCCACAAACAAGACATCTGGCCTGGAGCAATAGTAATTAATCTCTTCATTAATTGGTGTGAGTTTTAATTATCTGGGAGTAGAGCCATGCCGGCTTGACCAATGGTCATGGTGATAAACCAGGACAGAGGAGGGGGTCAGTGAAGTGTGTCCATGTTGGGGTCACCCCGCTTCAGTGGTTTCTTTGTTTATCAACACTGCTCTTAGTGGGAGATTCGTCAAGTAAAGGGTGTTATTAGCAGAAAAACAAACAGTAGCTGGATCAGAGGTTAGATAAACTATTGTCTTACAAACAAGGATTTGTCAGTTTGTTGAACAGTTGTTCTACCCTGGGGTTTGTTGGTTTACCCATGTTGGAGACGTGTCAGAGTTGAGCAGATAGTCCATGGAAGGATCTTTATGTTAATATTGATGTATCGAAACTGACATTTTCAAGAAAATTGGAGATTGGATTATTCACTTTAAAACTCATATTGTGAGGATTTGCTTGATTGTGGAACTAATGTTAACTTAGCAGGGACCAATATTTGCCTGTCATAGTAAACATCTGTTGGTAATCCTAATGCAGTGCAAGACATTTGAAATTACCATGACAGTAATTGCTACGTTGAAAAAAAATGTTTACAAAGTTTTAATTCTGACATGACTTCAGATTCAGTGTTTGCACATTGCGCTAATGAAAATCAGGTGAAGAATTCACAGCTACTGTTACTTCCCATGTCAACACACCAGTAGGGGATAACAACTGTTTCTTCCCTGCTTTACTCCTATACATTTCAGGGTGCATATTTGAAGGTGTATATATGCACATATGACTTGCTGGTTTTCAATACTTTGTTACATTAAAATATTTATGTCATATTCAAAAGCGTTGCTGTATGTATGACTACCTTTTCATACTTTTCTCTTTAATTTCCTTTGGAAAGATTTAATATGACTACACAAATGAGTAGGTAAATTTCTTAAATATTTTTCTTATTAATTTCTCTATACAGGATTTGAAGGAGTGTACATACATATGTGCATTTATATTTTTAAATATTTTTCTAATTATTTCCATACAGGATTTAAAAGTGTGTTAATACATGTATGTGCATTTATATATTTTTATATTTTTATATTTTTATTATTATTTCTCTGTACAGGATTTGAAGGTGGGTTTATACATATGTGCATTTATATGTTTTAATATTTTTCAGATTATTTCACTGTACAGGATTTGAAGGTGTGTAAATACACATGTGCATTTATGTCTGACTGACTGACTGATATAGGAGATTTAACGTGTGCTTTCCGACTATGTCTATCTTATACTTTTCCTTTATAACTCCTCTCTGTAGGACCTAAGGGGTTCTATGCCTGTACAGCACCAGGGTGACAAAAGCTAAGCCAGTGAACAAATATTTCTGTATGAGCCAATGACACCTCGCTAAGCCGACACTAGGAGATAGGATTAGCAGCTTATCCACAGATCTGCTTCACCTGCGACACCAACACTTGTCTGTGTGTCGTGGATGCATTCCCTGTCACTTGGCATCAGAGGATTTGTTGACAGGCAGTCATTGACTGCAGTAGTTTCAATGTTCCTACCGCTGCACTAAACATATCTACTGGAGTGACATGTAGCCTGCATGTAGCGGTCTCGCACCTCCATCAGGGATACACTGCCCTGTCGAGGATCAGTAGGAGGGTGGGGGGTTCCACTCATGACACAGGGTCAATACTTTGGTTAGGGGGGTCCACATTTAGGATTTGTGCTGGTCCAATAAGGATTAGTGTTTACTCTTAGGGTAGGAGGTTCACGGTTAGGGTGGGAGGTTCATGTTTATGGTAAGTGTTCACAATTAATCTAAAGTAGTGGGTTCATACTTTTGGTTAAGTGTTCACACTTGGGTGGGGGTCAGTGTTTCAGGTTGGTGTTCACACTTAGGGTAGGAGGTTCACGGTTAGGGTGGGGGGTTCTGTACTATACTGTAATAAATCTGTATTCCACCGATAAATGGGTACTCCACCGATAAATCTGTACTATACTGTAACAAATCTGTACTCCACCGATAAATCTGTACTATACGGTAATAAATCTGCATTACACAGATAAATCTGTACTATACTGTAATAAATCTGCATTACACAGATAAATCTGTACTATACCGTAATAAATCTTTACTACACCGATAAATCTGTACTATACCGTAATAAATCTGTACTATACCGTAATAAATCTGTACTATACTGTAATAAATCTGTACTACACAGATAAATCTGTACTATACCGTAATAAATCTGTACTATACTGTATTAAATCTGAACTATACAGTAATAAATCTGTACTACACAGATAAATCTGTACTATATCATACAGTGAAACTAAAAGGTGTACATAACAGATTCAATCAAAGACAATACTACACTGTGATAAATATGCAACATACTGTGATAAAACCTAAATCTTACAGTGAAACTTAAAAGTTGTTCATCCCCGTGAGACGTATTGTCCGGTGCTCCACATCACAATACAGTAATAGCACAATGCTATGTGAAAATATAATGCAAAAATCACATCTGCATGTTCTGTCATAATAACAACACAGAACACAGGCATCCCAAGACATCCTGGGCAGAGAGAGCCTGAGACATCACGTTACAGAGCTGAAGGTGTTAGTCATGCAAAGAAACGCTGCAGCAAGCACTAGGTGGACGATGACATGCAGATATGTAATATGGCGTCACCGTCTTCACTGCTAGAGGTCTGCTTGCAGGCTGCCGCCGCCGCCGCCGCGTACCTCCTCTGATGGTGGCGACGCATTTGCTCGTTAAGCGCCCAAGCTTGGAGAGAAAGATGATGGAGAGGAGGCATGAGATAGACAGAAACACAAACAACACAAGGAGAGACATTGGTTGAAACGGCCCTGAAACGGAAGTCCTGAAATACAAACTCAGGGAATGGTTTGAGTCTACGAGGCCACTTTTGGGAAGACAATGGTTGAGAGGGAACGACTGAGTGAATGAGAACGTTTTTTCGCTTGTAGCAATATTCCGGCAATATCGCGATGGGGGACACCTGAAATAAGCTGAACATCTGGGACCAATGTGGGGAAATATCTTTGGTATCATATAAACTCACTATCAACTAGTTTAACACAACCTGTTGGTCAGGGAGTCAATAATTAGTAGGTTCGAGACTCTAAATTCTTAATGTTAACACATGAATGTGAATTCAGGTGTGCACTGACATTTCAGTCACAAGATATGAATCTTAAGCATTTTGAGTTTATTTACTTGAGACGGGGATGGGTTAAGAAAATTCAATTTTCAAAGTCTTTTCACGTCAGAATCTAAATTCAAAGAGTTTTCAAGATGGCCCTTAAAATTCAAGGCATTTCTAAGCCTGAATGAACACTCGCATTTTTATAACTCCTTGGCATTCTCGATGGGGGTTGGGGGGGAATGGGGTGCTTCCTGGCTACAGTCGGTCACAATGACCCCTAGCCAGAGAACTAGCCAGAGAACAAGCCAGAGGTAGTCATGGTGACCTTATGACCAGTAGAGCCATTGTACAGGTCATGATGACCTCCAGAGAACATGTCTATGATAGTCGGGGCCATGCTGACCATACACAGTATGACATCCAGTACATTCCTGGTGATGGTGACGTAGGGACCAGACAGAGGTACACCGAATAACAAATTAACTTGTTCAGTTGACTGTAAACACACCAGCTAGCTTCAACTAACATATATGCAGCTACACTTAAGAAGAATGCAAGTTAGCAATATATCAGCATCATGGTGTTTCCAGTGAGTGTGAGTGACTCGGGTTTACCGTCACTGTGAACAGTATTCCAGTTATATCACAGCGTGTCAGATTCATGTGGGAGGAAAGTCCAAAGTGATGCAGGTCTCAGACGTTTACCACTTTGGCGATACCCATGAGCACAGGTATGGTGCTGAAAAACTAGAAACATTATCGGTGAGAACCGGGATTCGAACCACGATCACGTTTTTCTGGCTTGCCCAAGGGATGCAACTCTGCACAGCAAATTGCAGCGCCTGAGATGACAGGGCCACCCGTGATTATTGCTGAATACAATCAATAGCTCTACATCTGCCACCTGAGAACTATCAGTCTTCAGCAACCCATGCTTGCCGTAAAAGGCGACAATGCTTGTCATAAGAGGCGACTAACGGGACTGATTGGCCAGGCTCGCTGACTTGGTTGATGCATGTCTTCGTATCCCAATTGTGTGGATCGATGCTCATGGTGTAGATCACTGGATTGTCTGGTCCAGACTTGATTATTTACAGACCGCCGTCATATAGCTGGAATATTGCTGAGTGCAGCATTAAAGAACACCGGTGTATATTACTACAACGGCTTGCCACTCGAGGTGCCACCTCTCATCAACACAACTGGAGGAACGACTGCACTACCTTACAACATTGAGAACAACAGAGAGTGACAACACCCAGCTGGGACAAAACCGTCATCACAAATACTGCCCCACAACACACACTACCCCAGCACAATAGTTATAATTCCATTAAATATTCTCTACACAAGCTAACACATATATGAATATTTGCGATAATTTTGGCTCATGTGAACAAGAGTTTGAATTTTCCCACCCTAAAACATGAAATCTTGGACACAAACATTGCTCTAAATAACCTACATGACATGGAATTCAATAAAAACTTAAGTTCACATCACCAAAATTGAAACAAATTATGACCACTAAGAGAGAACAGCTGCTTTCCCATTCACACACAGGAGAGAAACGCAGGTCTGAAAACAACAAAAACTGAACGCAAATGAGTGACGCAAATGACAATGAGAGACAACAGTTGACGACAGCGCCATCTAGTCACCTGACGGTTCAACAGGCATCTCTAGCTTCATACTACTGGACTTGTGGAAGTGACTTATCGACTGAACGTCCGAGTCGGAAAACTCTGTGCTCTCACTCATCAGGCGTGACGAGTCACAGGAGCTCTCCAGTATCGGCAGAGACTTCCGATGGTCTTTGTATTGTTGGACTGAAATTTGGGATGAATTGGATTTTAACTGGTGTGAAGTGTACAAATTCACGAATCAATATTTCTGTCATAAAGCTGAAAAAAAAAATCAGTCCTGTATTCTCATCAAACCTTTTATTTTACAACTTGTCAAACTTCTCAATTAACTATAAATGGCAAAAACTACCTGACGTCATGTCACTCTTCCTTTCCAACAACGACCTGATGTCATGTTACTCTTCCTTTCCAACAACGACCTGATGTCATGTCACTCTTCCTTTCCAACAACGACCTGATGTCGTGTCACCTGACGACATGTCACTCTTCCTTTCTAACAACGACCTGATGTCATGTCACTCTCTTTCTTTCCAACAACGACCTGATGTCATGTTACTCTTCCTTTCCAACAACGACCTGATGTCATGTCACTCTTCCTTTCTAACAACGACCTGATGTCGTGTCACCTGACAACATGTCACTCTTCCTTTCTAACAACGACCTGATGTCATGTCACTCTTCCTTTCAAACAACGACCTGATGTCATGTCACTCTTCCTTTCTAACAACGACCTGATGTCATGTCACTCTTCCTTTCTAACAACTACCTGATGTCATGTCACTCTTCCTTTCTAACAACTACCTGACGTCATGTCACTCTTCCTTTCCAACAACTACCTGATGTCATGTCACTCTTCCTTTCTAACAACTACCTGATGTCATGTCACTCTTCCTTTCCAACAAATACCTGATGTCGTGTCACCTGACGACATGTCACTCTTCCTTTCTAACAATGACCTGATGTCGTGTCACTCTTCCTTTCTAACGACCTGATGTCATGTCACTCTTCCTTTCTAACAACGACCTGATGTCGTGTCACTCTTCCTTTCTAACAACTACCTGACGTCATGTCACTCTTCCTTTCTAACAACTACCTGACGTCATGTCACTCTTCCTTTCTAACAACTACCTGACGTCATGTCACTCTTCCTTTCCAACAACTACCTGATGTCATGTCACTCTTCCTTTCTAACAACTACCTGATGTCATGTCACTCTTCCTTTCCAACAACTACCTGATGTCATGTCACTCTTCCTTCCTAACAGCAACCTGACGTCATGTCACTCTTCCTTTCCAACAACTACCTGATGTCATGTCACTCTTCCTTTCTAACAGCAACCTGACGTCATGTCACTCTTCCTTTCCAACAACTACCTGATGTCATGTCACTCTTCCTTTCTAACAGCAACCTCACGTCATGTCACTCTTCCTTTCTAACAACTACCTGATGTCGTGTAACCTGGGCCTTCAACTCACCCACAGTGCAGACAGTCAGTCCGCAGTCCTGGGTGAGAACCAAGTGAGATCCCAAAGCTGAGTCAATGTTGGACTCACCCAAGTGAGATCCTCATGTAAAGTCAGTTTATTGGACTCATCTGGGTGAGATGTTCGTAATATGACTCCTCACAAAATCACCACGTAAAGTCAGTATGGTGGACACCCCTCCGACCCCAGTGTGAAGTCAGTGTGTTGGACTCACCCAAGTTAGAAACTCACCCGGGTAATATTCGTGTTATATGATGACTCACCTGGGTGATATCCCTTAGTAAAGTCAGTATGTTGGACACCCCTCCATCCCCCGGGTGAAGTCAGTGTGGAGGACTCACCCGCATGCATGTGTTGCCGAGTCTTCACATAGCTCGGTCTGACTAGATGCTCGCCATTCGATTGAGGTCCAACCTCCGCATAGATGTCTTCCCCTGATGGCACGGGTGATGTTGAAGACGCCCGCTCATGGTCACTGTCGGAAGGGTAGCGACCTTGGTACAGATTGGGCTGGTCGTACAAAGGCTCTGAGTCCTCTGTGCTTTGGCTGTGGCGGAAATAACGGCAAATATAAACATAGGAACGATTCTTTGACATATGTGGACATTCAAGGTTCATCTCAACATTGTGTTACTCTCAAATTGTCTCTATTATTGACTGAAGTAACAAGTCGTACGCCATAACAGTACCAGGGATCCGTGTTGTCGGTTCTCACTTTATTATTCATTTGTTAATGAATGTTACTATTTTTGAAAATATAATCAATTTCATGTGGATGCAGGTACATTCAATCAATCATATGAGAATCTATGTTTGATTCTATTCCAATCAAGTGACTATTTTCCATGAAAGGAGCCCGTGTAAAGAAGGATGGATACCACAATGATGGGAACACAGGGACACATCTTTACAATACTCAGGACAGGGGGGTTTCCATGGTGTTCCAAATATACCTCCAGTGATGTCATCCCATTGTCTCATCACTGTCTTCATAATTCATCAAATCCCAAAGTTAGGCAATATCTGGGATGTTATAGGTAAAATTCCCCCGATTTCACACACAAAATACTGCCAATTATATACTTCAGAGGATCAAATTTGTAAGAGAATGAACCACTAGGCTACAGAGGCACTGATAAATCCCAATAGGACCTATTCTAACCCGGAATCTCTACAACCATTATAGGTTGCTGGGCACTTATTATAACCCTGAATCCCCACAACCAGTATAGGTTGCTGGGGACTTATTATAACCCAGAATCTCTACAACCAGCATAGGTTGCTGGGGACTTATTATAACCCAGAATCTCTACAACCAGCATAGGTTGCTGGGGACTTATTATAACCCGGAATCTCTACAACCAGCATAGGTTGCTGGGGACTTATTATAACCCAGAATCTCTACAACCAGCATAGGTTGCTGGGGACTTATTATAACCCAGAATCTCTACAACCAGCATAGGTTGCTGGGGACTTATTATAACCCAAAATCTCTACAACCAGCATAGGTTGCTGGGGACTTATTATAACCCAGAATCTCTACAACCAGCATAGGTTGCTGGGGACTTATTATAACCCGGAATCTCTACAACCAGCATAGGTTGCTGGGGACTTATTATAACCCAGAATCTCTACAACCAGCATAGGTTGCTGGGGACTTATTATAACCCAGAATCTCTACAACCAGCATAGGTTGCTGGGGACTTATTATAACCCAGAATCTCTACAACCAGCATAGGTTGCTGGGGACTTATTATAACCCGGAATCCCCACAACCAGCATAGGTTGCTGGGGACTTATTATAACCCTGAATCCCCACAACCAGCATAGGTTGCTGGGGACTTATTCTTACCCTGAATCCCCACAACCAGCATAGGTTGCTGGGGACTTATTATAACCCGGAATCCCCACAACCAGCAGAGGTTGCTGGGGACTTATTCTGACCTGGAATCTCTACAACCAGCATAGGTTGCTGGGGACTTATTCTTACCCTGAATCCCCACAACCAGTAAAGGAGGGTTGAGACTGATTCTAACCCAGTATCACCTCCATACCCTGCATGACGCTGAAAGATTTGTCCCAAAGTTGGGACCGGTGGAACCTAAGGCAACTGTGCCACCCAGGCCTTGAATCTGTCTGCTACAATGTCAATCAGGAGTGTTAATAGGAACATCATGGAAACACACCCCTGTGAGGTGAGGATGTCCCACACAACATTTGGAGTGTAACAGTACCATTTCACCTACCATTCTACCCACCTATTACTTGTACTACTCTTGGTGGTATGATAGGTATTATATGGCAGTGGGGCCGGCGGTCTTCGGTCTATGTAGGTGCTGCGCTCGTCGTACGCCGGAGGGCTCTGCTCGTCCACCGGCTCGCGGAACATGTCCTCCGACTCCTCCTTCCGCTCCCAGGCTTCCTTGAAGAATGGGTTGTATACTGCTGCTGAAACAGGAAAGTGTGCGTTACGCTTCACTAAACACTCTGCCTGGTGGAGGATGCGGTTCCTGGCCTACCCTCATTACCCTGTTAATTATTTCGTTTTTTGTTGATGAACACAGCACTCAGCAATATTCTAGCTTTATAAATAATCAAGACTGGAAAAGTGATTTTGTACACTATTAATTACGACGTTGGTTTGTTGTTTAAAGCTACAAATAGCAATATTTTAGCTGTATGATGGCAGTGTATATAGTAAACTATCGAGTCTGGACCAGTGATTTATTACACTTTTAATTATTATTATTGTTATGTTTGTTTGTTTGTTTGTTTGTTTAACACGTCACTCAGCAATATTCTAGCTGTATGATGGCGGTGTGTATGGTAAACAATCGTCTGGACCAGTTATTTATTACACTCTTAATTATTATGTTTGTTTGTTTAACACGTCACTCAGCAATATTCTAGCTGTATGATGGCGGTGTGTATGGTAAACAATCGTCTGGACCAGTTATTTATTACACTCTTAATTATTATGTTTGTTTGTTTAACACGTCACTCAGCAATATTCTAGCTGTATGATGGCGGTGTGTATGGTAAACAATCGTCTGGACCAGTTATTTATTACACTCTTAATTATTATGTTTGTTTGTTTAACACGTCACTCAGCAATATTCTAGCTGTATGATGGCGGTGTGTATGGTAAACAATCGTCTGGACCAGTTATTTATTACACTCTTAATTATTATGTTTGTTTGTTTAACACGTCACTCAGCAATATTCTAGCTGTATGATGGCGGTGTGTATGGTAAACAATCGTCTGGACCAGTTATTTATTACACTCTTAATTATTATGTTTGTTTGTTTAACACGTCACTCAGCAATATTCTAGCTGTATGATGGCGGTCTGTAAGGAACTGTATGGACCTGACAATCCAAAGAGCACTGATCCAACATGGTATGATGATACGCTGGGGTCTGTCACCGTGTCAGACTGCCTGATCCATCTGGTTGCTTCATACGAACAGGATAGGTTGCTGGGGATAATTATTACTAATGGATTCATCTTATCTCAAATGTAATTTATTTTTGCTTTTCTAATCTAGTCTTTTTAAATGATGTTTATTTCAAGCATATGTAACAAATGCCACAAACAATAAGAATCATTGCAAAAATTGTCTGTTTGGCTGATATTTCTAAGGCGTCATTAGAATAAATTCCAAACTATGAAAGTGTCACTTTTAGAGTGAGAGAGTTAGGTCTAATGTTGCTTTGAACTGTACTTTAGTTATATCAGCGAATTGCCACCTGTGTCCTTCTGAGTGAGTGAGAGAGTGAGTGAATGAATTTGGCTTAATGCTGATTTGAACAATATTGCAGATATATCATGACGTGTCAGCACTGTGTGCAGGGAAAGCCTGAAGCAATGCAGGTCTCGGACGTTTGCCACTTTGGAGAAACCCACAAGCACAGGTATGGTGCTGACAAACCTAGAACCTTGATCGGGTTAACCTGGGATTCCGACCCACGATCAAAGGTTTCTGGAACACCTCAGTGATGTAACGATCCACAGCAAACTAAGTCACCCATGCACTGACGCTCTGTCACAACCCCAGCCGGCACATTCACTACCACCCAGCAACACTCCACTTGACACTCTGTAAAACTAAATTCTTGGCTAAACTGTTCATTCTATATTTGTTTTCAGAGAGTTTATCCACTTGAAATAAACATTTAAAAAAGAATTTGTTACAGCTACTTCTGAATTATTAATCACTGCCAGATTACTTTTGGAAACCTAACTACTATGTGACTATATGGTGTCTCATGCTGTAGTTGTTTGTTCGTTGTTTAACGCTGCACTCAGCAACAGACAGCGGTCTGTAAATAAATGATCAAGTCTTGACCAGACAATTCAGTGATTGACATCATAAGCATCGATCAACACAATTGGGATGTGATGACATGCATCAACCAAGTCAGCAAGCCTAACCAACCGATCCCGTAAGTCGCCTCTTACGACAAGTATTGTTGCCATTTTACGGCAAGCATGGATTGCTGAAGAACTATTCTACCCCGGAGCTGTGCTGTAGTCAGAACAGCAGCATAACATGATGGGAGCATGAAACTTAAAGCAAGGAAACTACCTTAAAGTTGATCACAAATGAAATATGTACATTTGACCATTTTCATCTCAATGAACAAAGAACATATCACATGGCTAAGAATATTAGTTCTACAGACAGCAAGATTTCTAAGACAACAAATATTACAAATCTACACAATTTGCTGGCAGGGTGAGTAAGTTGGGTTTAATGCTGCCTAGAACAGTATTTCAGTAATATCACAGCAAATCAGCTTGATGGGAGACGAAGACCTGCAGTGACACAGGTCATAGACAGTTACCCAGTATCGGTATGGTGCTGACAAACCATGAATCTTGGATCTGAACCCATGGTACGGCAGGAATGCAGGATGACAAATACAATACTACGGGTTTATGCCATCCATGCTGAAAACACAACACACAATACTGAGTGAGTGAGTGAGTTACGTAGCTTTTAGCAATATCCCAGCAATATCACGGCGGGAGACTCCAGAAATGGGCTTCACACATTTTACCCATGTCGGGAATCGAACCCGGGTCTTTCGCGAACGCTTTAAATTCTAGGCTACCCGACCGCCCCCACAACACACAATAAAGCTGACAGGCTTATAATATGACACACAATACACTTCATCCTAACTACAGTCAAGTCTCGTTAATCAGACACTTGTTAATCCGATAATCGGCTTTATCCGACACTAATGATATGAACAGATTAAATCAGTGCTATTTAGTCTCGTACTCCAAATCCGAACCAACTAATTTGCAACGAATTCACTCAGTCTCATTAATCCAACACAGTGATCAGCGTACTCCGTGGACATCTGCCCGCGAGTACACAGTCCTTGTTTTGATGCGAGACGAGTCGGCTGGAAGCTGCATAGTACAACGGATGCAGAGTTAAACTTGCTTAACAATAAACAATTACTGCTTTAAATAAAGAAATCAGGATTAATCACATGCTTAGATTACCTCAATTTCATTAAAATCAGATACAAGTTCTCGCTATCACCGAGGACATACCATAACAGGTCACGTCAGAACAACCTTTTGTGAACTATGACCTACCAATGAAATGACTAACAGCAAGTCTACGTTAGCCACTTAGAAAGCAGCTTTCTTAAGCTATGTGGTACGAGTTTCAAACTTGCAACTTCCATTCCAGACTATGCTTTTTAAAGTATTTTGAATGAGTCATACAGTCCGTAACAGTTGTTTTGTGTTGAGCTTTAGAGTCTGCATGATTAGAAAACATATTCCACTAACAATGTAACATAACAATATGAATATTTAATTTTAATTTTTTTATTACGTGTTTGTATCGTTATCTATCATGTAGTTGGCCGATTTTCGATCATGAAAGTTGATACTACTTAATTTTGTTTATCTGACATACTCGTTAATCCGACATAATCATATGGAACCAACCATGTCGGATTAACGGGACTTGACTGTCTGTAGGTAGCAAACAGGTGTCTTCACAAAAACAATAGATCAACAACTTGAGGGCATCTGAACACAAAATACAATATGAAAATATGAAACAGAAATGACAACACATTGCCGGACATTGAACGTTGCAGAAAGACATGAACTTGTGCAGAAAGACATGGAACTGTGCAGAAAGACATAACTGTGCAGAGAGACATGGAATTGTGAAGACATACAACTGTGCAGAAAGACATGGAATTGTGCAGAAAGACATGGAACTGTGCAGAAAGACATATAACTGCAGAAAGACATAGAATTGTGAAGAGAGACATTGACTTGTGCAGAAAGGCATGGAACTGTGCAGAAAGACATGGAATTGTGCAGAAGGACATGGAACAGTGCAGAAAGACATGGAACTGGGCAAAAAGATGGGGTTGTGCAGAAAAAAACATATAAATGTGCAGAAAGACATTGAACTGTGCAGGAAGACATCGAACTGGGCAAAAAGATAGGGCTGTGCAGACAAAACATGGAACTGTGCAGAACAAAGCAAGGCGACAACATGAAGAGTACACGCGACTCACTTCCCGTGTCTGCGAGTCCACAAGGAGGCGGCAGCAGCAGGGAGGAGAGGAGGAAGGATGAGTGTTGGAACATCGATAGGGATACACACAAATGCTCAGCAAACTTTGCAAAGCATTAACTAAATCCTTATTATTTTCATTCTTGTCCAACAATTATATCTGTGTATTAACGCTTGCTTGTATCTACTACTTTACTCTTCTGTGTCTGGACCTTTTGTAAATGTTACTGTAAACATGTGGGCTGTCATGTGATATCCTTACCAAACCTAAAGATCAGGCTACATAAAAAAACTTGGTCTGAAGACAAGTGACTGTCCTACAATCAGTGAAAACAAAGGCACTTGACCACTTACCTCAAGCAATCACCTAAAAGAAACTTTCGGACGATTAGAAATTTCTTATTTTAATAGCTTCTTTGTCTACACGATAAAAAATTGGGTTCTATTTTAGCTAAAACACTTGAAGAAATTGGCTCCGGGAAGCACTTTGACAAATAGGTGCAGGTAGGAGAATGGTGAGGAAAGAAGGTTGGATCAACATTTGTTTCCAGTGGAGTTGTATGGTTGAGTGAGTGAGTATGGTTTTACGCCGCTTTTAGCAATATTCCAGCAATATCACGGCGGGGGACACCAGAAATGGGCTTCACACATTGTACCCATGTCGGGAATCGAACCCGGGTCTTCGGCGTGACGAGCGAACGCTTTAACCACTAGGCTACCCGACCGCCCCGTTGTATGGTTGAAGATGAAGCACCAACAACCAAGACTGGTACAGCGGAGATGGTGTGACAGGGAGAGGGTAGTAATGCCTATGAGAGATTTCATTTGTTCAGTTGGGGAGTAGGGATGGTTTCACACTTTAAGCTATATTCCTTCAATATTAAAGTGAGTGACACAAGAAGAGTGGCTGCATTAACTTCTGGGCTATGTGACTGCTCCCATGCCCAGATTTATGTGGGAAGAGTCACAGTTTGTGGACATTTGCAGTTTTGTGAAATCCACAAGCGTTCACATGATGAAAGACCAAGAAACCTAGTCAGGGATCAGCAGATCCTGGCAGGTATGGGAGACAACTCTGTCAGTGAGTTGCAAGGATTCATTGGTTCATGTAGAATGGCATAGACCTTTTCATTATTAATGCATATAAGTCTTAACGTGTCCTTTTACATTAAACATTGGAAAATACTTCAGTTCTGAAATCATTTTTATGTGACAAATGATCTTTGCCTTCCTAGCATGTATAAACAAAACTAGGCCACAAACACCTTCACCATTAGGTCCCCAGCAATGTATCGCTACTATTCCCCTACAACTGTACCATGTATCTCTACTATTCCCCTACAACTGTACCATGTAACTCTACTATTCCCCTACAACTGTACCATGTATCTCTACTATTCCCCTACAACTGTACCATGTAACTCTACTATTCCCCTACAACTATACCATGTATCTCTACTATTCCCCTACAACTATACCATGTAACTCTACTATTCCCCTACAACTGTACCATGTATCTCTACTATTCCCCTACAACTATACCATGTATTGCTACTATTCCCCTACAACTACACCATGTAACTCTAATATTCCCCTACAACTATACCATGTATCTCTACTATTCTCCTACAACTGTACCATGTATCACTACTATTCCCCTACAACTGTACCATGCATCTCTACTATTCCCCTACAACTATACCATGTATCTCTACTATTCCCCTACAACTATACCATGTATCTCTACTATTCTCCTACAACTGTACCATGTATTGCTACTATTCACCTACAACTATACCATGTATTGCTACTATTCCCCTACAACTACACCATGTAACTCTAATATTCCCCTACAACTATACCATGTATCTCTACTATTCTCCTACAACTGTACCATGTATCACTACTATTCCCCTACAACTGTACCATGCATCTCTACTATTCCCCTACAACTATACCATGTATCTCTACTATTCCCCTACAACTATACCATGTATCTCTACTATTCTCCTACAACTGTACCATGTATTGCTACTATTCACCTACAACTATACCTTGTATCTCTACTATTCCCCTACAACTGTGCCATGTATCTCTACTATTCCCCTACAACTATACCATGTATCTCTACTATTCCCCTACAACTGTACCATGTATCACTACTATTCCCCTACAACTATACCATGTATTGCTACTATTCCCCTACAACTATACCATGTATTGCTACTATTCACCTACAACTATACCATGTATCGCTACTATTCACCTACAACTATACCATGTATCGCTACTATTCCCCTACAACCGTACCATGTATCGCTACTCTACAAAGCAGGAAGTTGCAGCAAGGCGAGGCTGTGTTGGCTGCGCCCGGTGGATACTCACTCTGTTGGGTGAAGTTGGCGGTGGTGGTCATGAAGTGAGCAGCAATGCGGTCTGCCAGCGAGTTGCCGTCGGTGATGAGACGTTGACTGTACTGACTGGAGTAGAAGGACGACGCACCGCTGCTGTCCGACACTGCCAGGATCAGTTTAGGCACATTGGGGAGACGCAAAGCAAATGCTCTGAAAATAAATTGTGAAAATAAAGTAAGCCAGTAAGCACGGTACATGAATTGAGTGAGGCTTGCATCTGCTCTTTAATAGATCAGGCATGTGATTTACTTATTGACAAAAAAGACTTCAACTCATGTTTTTCTCAGGACTTTTGTTTGCACAGAGAAGGAAACCAAGAAATCATAAGCAAAGAATAAAGTTTGAAAATTTGCATAAAATACAGAATTTTCGTCTGAGAGAAAGAAAAATCCCAAGCCTTCTACAGTGGTCCCTCGCTACAACGCTACCTATGGGGTCCAAATAATGCTAAGGCGGGGGAGCGCACTCGGCCAATCTCACGATCTTCGCCTTGTCTCACACATTGCAATGATACAAAATGTTTACCGTTCATAGTGTAAAAATATATATCCATTATGTTTTCGCCGTTTGTTATTATTTACAAGCCTTAACTGTCACATTCAATGTGAATGTAGTCTACATACATGAAAATATCAATCGATAATGGTAGTAACAGACGCTATGAGTGAAGAGCCAATCACAATTCATTACACAAGTACAGAGTGTTTCAGTGGCATTGATTGGTCATGTTGCTTAAAATACGGAAAACGAGAGTTTTCACCAGCGCTACGCGCATTCATACAAATATAGATACACATTCAAGCCAGATTAATTGGTTTGATACGGTTACTTGATCTGAATCAAAAGGAATGACCGCCGTGTTGTGACAGCAACATGTGAGTTGACCGTGTCGCCTCAAATTGGATTGCCCACTAATTAAGAATATAAACTTCACTTGTGGTTCTCTTTTATTGCATGCATGCGCTTCTAAGATCAAAGGGTGTATAGTGTGAAAAGTTAACTAGTAGAACAATCCTATTTCCGGGACTTGCCGCGGATGTTTTCAAACAGATTATTAGAACTCCATTCAGCGATAAAGGGTTGATTATGCAATGAGAAGCATTATGAGCAAATGAACAACGAACAACAATACAATCATGTCTGTGTAAAACTCTCAGTATTAAAAGTGTACATAAATTTTGGGAGCCATGTGTTACCGCGCGTAGTAACCGAGGTAGCGCTTTATCGAAGAGCACAATAGCGAGGGATCACTGTATATCCTAGGCACTTTAGGTCTGTTCTATAATTGGATTGACTGGTTTAGATATGATCCTTTACTGTCACCGTCACATAGCTGAAATACTGCATACTTCCTGGGAATCATGTACAGTAAACTACAGTTACAACAAAGTCAAAGGACCACCATTTAAGTTCATTATAACCCTAGTTTGTTATAAGCATTTCGACTGTCAGGCATCTTTGATCAAGTCATGTGACCTCGTGTTACTCAATAACTAACAAAAGTGTGCACTATGTACTTCAATCATCTCAGGAATGACTACATACATAACATAAGTAAATACAGGTTATAAATATATCACTGATAGTTTCACTGACACAAGAGTCATTTTCGGTTTTAGGCGATGCACAAATGTGAGTCCAGCACACACAAATGTTGAGAAAAAGAAAATACATCCTAAGGAACATATAAATAGAGGATTCATCACGAGTGTTTTTTAATATGGGTAATATCAACCGAGTCTTAGTTAATCGGTATTTGCCGAGCCTTTGGCGAGGCAAATACTGATTAATGGGACGAGGTTGATATTTCCCCATATTAAAAAACACGAGTGATGAATTCTATTTATCATTTTCACATTTTTGCTTCCCAATTAAGGGTCTGTCATTTCATCCATCCATCCATCATGACCACTATCCACATGATCACTTATTCATTCCAGATTCTAAAGTATGTCATGATTACCAGTGAGTGTGTGGCTTTTGTGCAATGCCTCAGTCAGTATCACGCATCAATAAAGTCTGAGTGCCTGACCACCTGATCCCATTAGCCGCCTCTTACAACAAGCATGGGTTACTGAAAACCAATTCTTACCAGATCTGTAGGACTATCAACTTACCTGAGCGTCATAAGAGAAGCTTTCCGTTTGGCGGAGTATACAAGAATGTAGCCATGTGTGACTTGTTGAAGGTCGTGGCTGTCCCCATGGTAAGATGACACTTCTATTTCTATTCGCTGTTTCTGATACTCCAGGAAAGTATCGAGAGTAATGAGATGGGGCGCCTTTGGCGACACTCGGCAGAATTCATTGTTCAAGAAGGGTCCTAGCGGGACGTCCACCATGAACTCATCACCGCACATCATGCACACAGATATCCTGAGGAGAACAGATGGCATAAATGATGATACAATGAGAAAAGGTGGGACAAACCATTATACAACGAGAAAAGATGTTATAAATCATTATATGAGGCCAAGACACGTGTCACGTGGCAGTTGTTCACTTCCTTGGAAGAGTGGATTGCCCTTATAGAATACCATTGATCTTGTAATGTAATCAGGTTTTCAGGTATTTTTAGAAGTTTTATAAACAGGTTACATGAGAAACGTGTCTTACATTGTTGTTGTGATAGTCTAATAAAGAATTAATCCATGAAAACCAAACACAATTTGCACAATGACCAGGTGATTCTGAAAGGTAGGGGAAGCAACTCTGCACACCAGACAACTCGACAACCTTGTTCCTAATTTAAACAGAGGGTTTGATCAAGTAGATGTGTTTTACTTCTGGATGTTGCCACAGTGAGTTCTCTATGAGAGCACCAGAGTCTAGGAATGATCGGTGCCTATGTGAAACAAAGCCCAAACCTATGATCGATGATGACCAGCTAACATACAAGGGAAGCAACTCTGTACTGCTGGGCCATCAGTGTCAATCATGTCAGGATATATTCAGCAGACTTTACACCTAATTTGTGTGACACTATTATGAGTTCTATGCTGCCTTCAGCTTTATTCTAGCCATATTAAGGTTGGGGACACAAAGAATTTATTTCAAACACAGATCAAATGACATGTGAAGCGCAAATGTCAGAGTATATTAGAATGTACAATATTAGAAAGTAGACTGTAAACAGCTTTATTTCTGCGCCGTTAAAATATTGCGAATACCACACCAAAGACAATACTGCGACGAGATATTTCTGCAAGTTGCCGTGTTGAGATGACCCCTTGATTACCAAACAATAGACAGCTTCTCTCCGAAGCTAGTTAATCTGAGTTGGCCGGAAAGTTGACACCGGTAACAGTGACACTAATTGGTCTGTTTACACTGTCATTTGTGATGTATTGTGTGACCATTCTGCATTCATTTGTGTTCTTAACTTATTGAGTAACTTGTGGTTCTGGTTGTTGATTTCAACATTTGATGACGTGTTGCAATGAATAAAGTATGTATGTATTATTTATACTTATTTTTGCGTTTTTAATTTTTGTGATTGAGTCTCGTTCGCAAAATTCGCAATAATAAAAAGTCACAAAAAATTCCCTGTTTACAGTATTCATAGTATGTTAATATCTGTGAAGTGTGTAAAATAGTTACTTATCTTGATCTTGAAGTTCAAGTTAGATGTACACATGGCGTACAATTTTGCACCAATGTGAGTGTTCACCTAACTTAAACCTCTCAGTAAGTAATATTACTCGTAGCACATAATCTAGGAGTGACCTGTGGAGGAGTGTTAGCTCACCTGGTATCTGCACACATATAGAAGTGGTCAGTGGAGTGTTAGCTCACCTGGTATCTACACACCGTCTAGGAGTGACCTGTGGAGAAGCGTTAGCTCACCTGGTATCTGCACACATATAGAAGTGGTCAGTGGAGTGTTAGCTCACCTTGGTATCTACAAACCATCTAGGAGTGGCCTGTGGAGGAGTGTTAGCTCACCTGGTATCTGCACATCATATAGAAGTGGTCAGTGGAGTGTTAGCTCACCTGATATCTGGCTGTGCATGCTCTGAGAGGAGCCAGCCCCCCATGCTTGATGAGCAGCGGCGAATGACAGCCTGCAGCGCTCGATGGATCTGACAGCTGTCGAACTGCGTGTGTGAGGCCTCATCTATGTCCTCAGGAATGTTGATGAATTCACCATGTAACCTAGGAAACCAATACAGATTCTGTACAAATCAAAGTTGGAAGGAGTGAGTGACTTCTGATGAATTCACCATGTAACCTTTGAAACCAGTACTATGGAAACCCGGTATATCTGGATGCACCATTCTCAGTGAAGTGTCCCAGATTTACATATTTCAAAATGATCAATGAATCATTGACAAGGGTAACACCAATAGATAGGAATATGTTCACTGAAGCCGACATGGTGGGAGTCCACCATTATAGTTTAGCCTCAGGTTGTCATGCGATGTCACTGCTGCCAACCTTAGTACTTGTATTTTGTTCCTATCACCTCATCAGGACACCACAGCTGGACAATACTGGTATTTTTATCACTTTGTTCCTTTTTCGACTACACCAGCTTCCGATAATATGAACGAGTGTCTCAACTGGACGGATGCAACACTATAAATAAATTTCATACCAGTCGACATGCTAATTTTTGTAATAGACGGAGTAAGGCCAAATAATGACCCTCTCTTTCCCTGTGCCTTTTTAATTTCTTTCTTTTAATATACATACTACTTGAATATAGTATGTGAATTATGGAAAAAACACATTTTTGTATTTCAGTTTCAAATTTGAGACAGTTGGCAGCTGTCAATAACTATCTTGCCTTATTAAGTCAATTGGATTCTAATGTTATCAAATGAAAATTCCGAACAGATCTCTATTCTAAACATCTTAGTTTGAGATATATTTCCTAGTTGGGCTGATCAAGGAAGCTTAAATACATGATAATCAAATCATCATTGTCACTGCAGCTGACCTTCTGGCAAGATTCTGGCCATCATCGTGGAGTATCTCTCGCTCCTTCTCGCTCTGACTAGAATTATAGGCTTGTATGACTGCAATGGGCATCCCATTGAGGGCCTGGACATCCTGCTCGAGATCAGTAAACAGTGAGCGCTCCAGGCTCTCCCGCACATACGTCAGAGTATGCAAGGAGTTGTAGACACACACACATCCTGAAACAGAGGCCAGCGAACAATGACACCCGTAATCAGAGCCACGTGCTAATGCTTATCATAGATCGGGATTTCCTTGTTTGACTGAGGGAGAAAATCTGACATGGACAATGGACAATGATTGTATTTCGTATCAGAAACGACATATAAGACACATTGATGTCCATGATTCAATGACATAAATCTTTCCAACTTCCAATGTCCTCCATACTCTTTTCCTTCAATGGCATGCACAGTGGATAATACTTGCATCCACTTTGAATTTGTTTAATATTTTTCATCCTGTAAAAGTACACACACACATTAATGAAAACTTTGGTACCTCAACAAGCATATGGAGAGTGTTTATTGGCTCTGAGAGAGTGCAAGTGAAAGAGCCTATGTATTAATATATGAATATTATATCATGGGTACTGGGGACATTGATGTCCTCTCAGGAGGCAAGTATGGGTACTGGGGACTATGACGTCCTTTCAGGAGGCAAGTATGGGTACTGGGGACAATGACGTCCTCTCAGGAGGCAAGTATGGGTACTGGGGACAATGACGTCCTCTCAGGAGGCAAGTATGGGTGCTGGGGACAGTGATGTTCCCTCAGGAGGCAAGTATGGGTGCTGGGGACATTGATGTCCTCTCAGGAGGCAAGTATGGGTACTGGGGACAATGACGTCCTCTCAGGAGGCAAGTATGGGTGCTGGGGACAGTGATGTTCCCTCAGGAGGCAAGTATGGGTGCTGGGGACAGTGATGTTCCCTCAGGAGGCAAGTATGGGTACTGGGGACAATGACGTCCTCTCAGGAGGCAAGTATGGGTGCTGGGGACAGTGATGTTCCCTCAGGAGGCAAGTATGGGTACTGGGGACATTGATGTCCTCTCAGGAGGCAAGTATGGGTACTGGGGACTATGACGTCCTTTCAGGAGGCAAGTATGGGTACTGGGGACAATGACGTCCTCTCAGGAGGCAAGTATGGGTACTGGGGACAATGACGTCCTCTCAGGAGGCAAGTATGGGTGCTGGGGACAGTGATGTTCCCTCAGGAGGCAAGTATGGGTGCTGGGGACATTGATGTCCTCTCAGGAGGCAAGAATGGGTGCTGGGGACAGTGATGTTCCCTCAGGAGGCAAGTATGGGTGCTGGGGACAATGACGTCCTCTCAGGAGGCAAGTATGGGTGCTGGGGACATTGATGTCCTCTCAGGAGGCAAGAATGGGTGCTGGGGACAGTGATGTTCCCTCAGGAGGCAAGTATGGGTGCTGGGGTCAATGATGTCCTCTCAGGAGGCAAGTATGGGTACTGGGAACAATGACGTCCCTTCAGGAGGCAAGTATGGGTACTGGGAACAGTGATGTTCTCTCAGGAGGCAAGTATGGGTACTGGGAACAATGACGTCCCTTCAGGAGGCAGGTATGGGTGCTGGGGACAGTGATGTTCTCTCAGGAGGCAAGTATGGATACTGGGGACAATGATGTCGTTTCAGGAGGCAAGTATCGGTACTGGGGTCAATGACGTCCTCACAAGAGGCAAGTATGGGTACTGGGGTCAATGATGTCCTCACAAGAGGCAAGAATGGGTGCTGGGGACAATGACGTCCTCTCAGGAGGCAAGTATGGGTACTGGGGTCAATGACGTCCTCACAAGAGGCAAGTATGGGTACTGGGAACAATGACGTCCCTTCAGGAGGCAAGTATGGGTACTGGGAACAGTGATGTTCTCTCAGGAGGCAAGTATGGGTACTGGGAACAATGACGTCCCTTCAGGAGGCAGGTATGGGTGCTGGGGACAGTGATGTTCTCTCAGGAGGCAAGTATGGGGACTGGGGACAGTGATGTTCTCTCAGGAGGCAAGTATGGGGACTGGGGACAATGACATTCGTTCATGAGGCAAGTATGGATACTGGGGACAATGATGTCGTTTCAGGAGGCAAGTATGGGTACTGGGGTCAATGACGTCCTCACAAGAGGCAAGTATGGGTACTGGGAACAATGACGTCCTTTCAGGAGGCAAGTATGGGTACTGGGAACAATGACGTCCTTTCAGGAGGCAAGTATGGGTACTGGGAACAGTGATGTTCTCTCAGGAGGCAAGTATGGGTACTGGGAACAATGACGTCCTCTCAGGAGGCAGGTATGGGTGCTGGGGAAAATGACATCTTTTCAGGAGGCAGGTATGGGTACTGGGGAAAATGACATCTTTTCAGGAGGCAGGTATGGGTACTGGGAACAATGACGTCCTTTCAGGAGGCAAGTATGGGTACTGGGAACAGTGATGTTCTCTCAGGAGGCAAGTATGGGTACTGGGAACAATGACGTCCCTTCAGGAGGCAAGTATGGGTACTGGGAACAGTGATGTTCTCTCAGGAGGCAAGTATGGATACTGGGGACAATGATGTCGTTTCAGGAGGCAAGTATGGGTACTGGGAACAATGACGTCCTTTCAGGAGGCAGGTATGGGTGCTGGGGACAGTGATGTTCTCTCAGGAGGCAAGTATGGGGGTTGGGGACAGTGATGTTCTCTCAGGAGGCAGGTATGGGTGCTGGGGAAAATGACATTCTTTCATGAGGCAAGTATGGGTACTGGGGACAATGATGTCGTTTCAGGAGGCAAGTATGGGTACTGGGGTCAATGACGTCCTCACAAGAGGCAAGTATGGGTACTGGGGACAATGATGTCGTTTCAGGAGGCAAGTATGGGTACTGGGAACAGTGATGTTCTCTCAGGAGGCAAGTATGGGTACTGGGCTCAATGACGTCCTCACAAGAGGCAAGTATGGGTGCTGGGAACAATGACGTCCTTTCAGGAGGCAAGTATGGGTACTGGGAACAGTGATGTCCTCTCAGGAGGCAGGTATTGGTACTGGCGACAATGATGTCGTCTCAGGAGGCAGGTATTGGTACTGGGGACATTGAGGTCCTTACCATGTGGTTTGAAGTTGGCAGTGGCTAGTGCATTATGCTCCAGACTGACATCGCCATCTATAGGCCGATAATCTAGGCTGTAGTTAACACTCTCGTGAACATACTCATCATCTATACACAGATTCTGAAACAGTAAAGAGTACATATTAAGATCACAGACTCCCTCGTGAACATACACGTCATCCTAACACAGACTGAAACAGTGAAGGGAAGAAAAGGTCAATGTCTCCTTGTCAGGGGCTTGACCTACAATCACACATCTGGAAGACCTGTTCAAAGCACTGTTGTTGTTTCAAATTCAACTCGAGAAGATACCTTCTAGGATGTGAAATTGAAGGCATGTTCTCTGATTCTGCAGTATTCTAACAGGTCTTGATTGAGGATCACTTTACAACTTTCAGCAGGATGAGGACAGCATTAAGAATTGTACTTATGTAGCTATCCACCAAAACTCCTTGATGCAGTAATTTGTTTGTTCAATGCAGCACTAAGAATTATTCCACCAATATAAGAGTGGTCTCTAATTAATCAAATCTGGACCATGCATACCTGTGACTGATATCACATGCAACTTCTCACAGCTCCAGGGTACACCACACAATCGACATGTATGTATATGTGTGCGTGTGTGTACGTGTGTGTACGTATGTGTGCGTGTGTGTACGTGTGTGTTCGTGTGTGCGAGGGTGTGTCCGAGGGTGTATGTGCGCATGAGTGCGTGCATGTGGTTTAACGCCGCATTCAGCAATATTCCAGCTATATGTCGGGGGCTGTTAATAATCGAGACTAGACCAGACAATCCAGTGACTGATATTGTGAGCAACAATCCATACGGTCAGGGGTCAATGACACGCCAATAACCACGCCACCAAGCATGACCACCTGATCCATTAAGTTGCCTCTTACATCCACCATGGGAACCTATTCTATCCCGGAATCCCCACGGGTCTTGACATAATGAGTCAGGAACTAACCCTGATAGCCAGGTTGACATCTTTGGCCAGTCCGTCCTTGCCAAGCAGCACCAGGTTGAGACAGCGCTCTGACCCATCCAAGACCTCACACGACTCCACCACCTCCGGCCTGCAACATGCACACAAGGACACTAGGTCAGGACGGTACATACAGTTAACTTATCTGCTGGACCTTGGGCAAGCAGAAACAACAGAAAACATGTCATTATTTCATCAGCATCAAGTGCCATATCCAATACATACATTATAGCTGGGACGATACACCAACTGAGCGATCAGATATATATCCCAATACCTAGCTCACGATCCGATATGTATCACGATACTTGCATGTGCTCTTATCTGTGGTGCGTAAGCCATCTTTTTCACAGACAAGATGGCCAAATACCTGTCTGACTGATGATTTTAAAGTTGACAGTGTCAAGAATGGAGCAATGGATGAAATTATTTACATTTTCACCACTTATTTTCCCTACTAATTGGTGTTTGATGTAACAGTTATGAAAGCAGACATTTAAGGTAAGAATCAATAATTTTTACTGTGATCTACACTTGTATTGAGAAGTAAAAAATCGCAATCCACCTACGGACCGGTGTACTGGTCCACTGCTAATATATATGTATGTCATTGTGGTCTCATCTGAATTGTTGGTTGTTTAATGCCGCACTCAGTAATATTCCAGCTATATTATGGTGGTTTGTAAATAATCAGGTCTGGACCAGACAATCTAGTGATTGACATCATGAGCATTGATCCACGTAATTGGGATATGATGACATGCAACAACCAAGTCAGCTAGCCCGATCCAATCAGTCGCCTCTTACGACAAGCATAGTACGACCCTGCTGCAGCTCACCTGGATGACCTGGAGGCCAGTAGTTTGTGGGACTGCAGGTCGACACAGTTCTCCCGGAAGTAGCACCGGTCCTTGGAAGGACACTGGATGAAGCCGAGGTGGTTGAGAATCATCACTTTCCGGTCCTCCTCTAGGCGATACAGAGCCTTGTACCTGAAACAACACCGGAACAATACAACCACCACGCCCACTCCATTATGTTTCAATAATACCAGGTCGTACAACCACCACGCCCACTCCATTATGTTTCAATAATACCAGGTCGTACAACCACCACGCCCACTCCATTATGTTTCAATAATACCAGGTCGTACAACCACCACGCCCACTCCATTATGTTTCAATATTACAAGGTCGTACAACCACCACGCCCACTCCACTCTGTTTCAATAATACAAGGTAGTACAACCACCACGCCCACTCCATTATGTTTCAATAATACAAGGTCGTACAACCACCACATCCCTCCACTCTGTTTCAATAATACCAGGTCGTACAACCACCACATTCACTCCTCTCTGTTTCAATAATACCAGGTCGTACAACCACCACGCCCACTCCATTATGTTTCAATAATACAAGGTCGTACAACCACCACGCCCACTCCACTCTGTTTCAATAATACAAGGTAGTACAACCACCACGCCCACTCCATTATGTTTCAATAATACCAGGTCGTACAACCACCACATCCACTCCTCTCTGTTTCAATAAAACCAGGTCGTACAACCACCTAACCCACTCCACTCTGTTTCAATAATACCAGGTCGTACAACCACCACGCCCACTCCACTGTTTCAATAATACCAGGTCGTACAACCACCTAACCCACTCCACTCTGTTTCAATAAAACCAGGTCGTACAACCACCACGCCCACTCCACTGTTTCAATAATACCAGGTCGTACAACCACCTAACCCACTCCACTCTGTTTCAATAATACCAGGTCATACAACCACCACGCCCACTCCACTCTGTTTCAATAATACCAGGTCGTACAACCACCTAACCCACTCCACTCTGTTTCAATAAAACCAGGTCGTACAACCACCACGCCCACTCCACTGTTTCAATAATACCAGGTCGTACAACCACCTAACCCACTCCACTCTGTTTCAATAATACCAGGTCGTACAACCACCACGCCCACTCCACTCTGTTTCAATAATATCAGGTCGTACAACCACCTAACCCACTCCACTCTGTTTCAATAATACCAGGTCATACAACCACCATGTCCACTTCACTCTGTTTCAATAATACCGAGTCGTACAACCACCCTGTCCACTTCACTGTTTCAATAATACCAGGTCGTTCAACCACCTAACCCACTCCACTCTGTTTCAATAATACCAGGTCGTACAACCACCTAACCCGCTCCACTCTGTTTCAATAATATCAGGTCGTACAACCACCTAACCCACTCCACTCTGTTTCAATAATACCAGGTCGTACAACCACCACGCCCACTCCACTGTTTCAATAATATCAGGTCGTACAACCACCTAACCCACTCCACTGTTTCAATAATACCAGGTCGTACAACCACCTAACCCACTCCACTCTGTTTCAATAATACCAGGTCGTACAACCACCCTGTCCACTCCACTCTGTTTCAATAATACCAGGTCGTACAACCACCCTGTCCACTCAACTATGTTTCAATAATACCAGGTCATACAACCACCCTGTCCACTTCACTGTTTCAATAAAACCAGGTCGTACAACCACCCTGTCCACTTCACTCTGTTTCAATAATACCAGGTCGTACAACCACCTAACCCGCTCCACTCTGTTTCAATAATACCAGGTCGTACAACCACCACGCCCACTCCACTGTTTCAATAATACCAGGTCGTACAACCACCTAACCCACTCTACTCTGTTTCAATAATACCAGGTCGTACAACCACCTAACCCACTCTACTCTGTTTCAATAATACCAGGTCATACAACCACCATGTCCACTTCACTCTGTTTCAATAATACCGAGTCGTACAACCACCTAACCCACTCCACTCTGTTTCAATAATACCAGGTTCTACAACCACATAACCCACTCCACTCTGTTTCAATAATATCAGGTCGTACAACCACCACGTCCACTCAACTATGTTTCAATAATACCAGGTCGTACAACCACCACGCCCACTCCACTCTGTCTGTAGTAACTCATTACTGCTACACACACGGGGCCGAATATCAGCCTCTGAGACGTCTAGACAAATCCCTGCTAAGTCAGTAACTGTTACACACATGGGCCTGAATATCAGCCTCTGAGACGTCTAGACAAATCCCTGCTAAGTCAGTAACTGTTACACACATGGGCCTGAATATCAGCCTCTGAGACGTCTAGACAAATCCCTGCCAAGTCAGTAACTATTACACACATGGGCCTGAATATCAGCCTCTGAGACGTCTAGACAAATCCCTGCTAAGTCAGTAACTGTTACACACATGGGCCTGAATATCAGCCTCTGAGACGTCTAGACAAATCCCTGCTAAGTCAGTAACTGTTACACACATGGGCCTGAATATCAGCCTCTGAGCAAGTCTAGACAAATCCCTGCTAAGTCAGTAACTGTTACACACATGGGCCTGAATATCAGCCTCTGAGACGTCTAGACAAATCCCTGCTAAGTCAGTAACTGCTACACACATGGGCCTGAATATCAGCCTCTGAGCAAGTCTAGACAAATCCCTGCTGAGTCCGCAACACTACCTGGGATCATCCTGCAGCGCTACTGTGATGCCTTTCAGGTCTTCCGGCGTCAGCCTCCCTGTTGAGTTGAGATTCAGAAATATCTGTGACTGTTCCCACAGGAGCTCCTGGAACTCATGCTTGGCCTGCTGTCGGAGCTCCTGCTGATGCTGTTCGTACACGATGCTGCGGTCCTGCTCCTCCAGCCCGTTGTACCCCTCCTTCCCCACGAAGAACACGTACGTCTCCCCCAGAGTCTTCCCCGCCGTCACCTGGTGGTTCTCCTCCAACAGCTTCTTGAACTGACGCTGGAGTCTGGAGACAAGACATACAGTGAGGCTCGGGTTGGCATTTACTACAGTGGCAGACATTTGTAAAACATAAAACATTTAATATCTAGAAACAAGTGATTATGGAAACCTACAAATAAACGTTGCCATGGTATTGGGTAACTTGTCAATAATCAATTACCATAATTTTGATAACATGAAAAGCATAGTATGAGGATCTTATCCAATGAGTGATCGTCAATTCAAACTACAAACTGGGATTCAAACCCATGATCACAGGTTTCTGGGCGCGCCCAAGGGACGCAACTCTGCACAGGGATAGCGGCGCATGAGACGACTGGGCCAGACCTATCCCCGTTTCAAGTATCACTCCTACTTCCTCTTTCCTGTCAGGGGCTATCAGAATATAGAGGTCTGCTGTCCAGAAAACTTGATGAGTATGTTTGAGGACATATACTGCCCCTTGTCCTGCATCCTACTCTTTCCTACAATAAACCTGTGACAGACCACTAACAGGATATACAGGTCCTGCACAGGAAACACGATCGGCTCTGTCTGAATTGTTTTTGGAGGATAACATCCCTCCACTCTTTTCAACACTTACTCTTTCCTGCGATGGTTTGCCTGCAGCTCGTTGACATGGTTCCTGAAACAGGTCTCTGCATCAGGGGAGTTGAGCAAATCAAAAGGTATCCTGGTCTCGTCCTGGCTGTCGAGGAAGGCATCCGTTGTCTTCCAGGTGCCCTGCCCCACCGTGCACGCGTCCACAAAATACTTGGAGAAGTCCTCATGCTTCTGGATGTTCTTCTGAACTGTCGGCCAGCTCCTGGAAGCAGAGGCAGTGAAGTGTGAGGCAACATACTCTGATGACCATGAATAAGTACAAACTCTTTGTATTCTGGGTGAACATGAACTGTCTTCTCATTTTGCCTGTGTTTGTTTGTTTGTTTGTTGTTTAACGCCACACTCACCAATATTCCAGTTATATGACGACGGTCTGTAGTGAGGGAGTGAGTATTGTTTTAGGCCGCTTTTAGCAATATTCCAGCAATATCACGGCGGGGGACACCAGAAATGGGCTTCACACAATGTACCCATGTCGGGAATCAAAACCGGGTCTTCGGCGTGACGAGCAAACGCTTTAACCACTAGGCTACCCGACCGCCCCTCGACGGTCTGTAAATAATCGAGTCTTGGCCAGACAATCCAGTGACTGATATCAGGAGCATCGATCCACGCATTTGGGATGCAATGACATGCATCATCCAGATCAGCGAGCCTGATCACCCGATCCCGTTAGTCGCCACTTACGACAAGCATAGTCGCTTTTTACAGCAAGCATGGGTTGCTGAAGACCTATCTTACTCAGGATCTTCATGTGTCCATTTTTCCTGTGACAAGTACTGACAATACAAAGATGAATTACAAACAAGGAACAACTCAACTGCATCAATGCATCAACGCTGGTGACTGAGGTAAACAACCACCAACATCCACAAGCTTCTGTAACTCACACGTTTCTGTCTAGAATATTATATTAGATTGAACAGGTCAAACAAGGGCGAAGACAAGTTAGCACAAATTTATACAAAACATTGTCACAGAGTAGATGTTTCATGAAGGGCTGAAGATTCCACAACCCCTAATACTAGCTTCAGGCTAGCTCTATTTTTGTTTTGTTTTTTGCCACAGTTAGCAAATCACCAGCAGTGAATGGGTACCTGGTAGGATGAGATGGTAATGTGACTATTAACTTTCTAGCAATTCACAGGCAGCTTGGTTTGTATACTTCCCATGGAGCTGAGAATGAAAAATTAAGTACGCACTGATCCATTGACCTTGGTGATAATGGTACGTACTGTGAGCATACAAAAGTATAGAGATCCGGGCTAGAATAGGTCTTCAGCAACCCATGCTTACTACTCTGGATAGTCTGGTCCAGACTTGATTATTTACAGACTGCCGGCATACAGCTGGAATATTGCTGAGTGTGGCGTTAAACAACAAACAGACAACAACATTTACTAGCTCAAACAGTGATGACATATAAAGACATCCCCTAAAGCCTGAAATTCTGCTGGTTCTCAGGGTACCTTTAACATGGACAAACTGAGACAGGCAGGTGCTCGCACCCTGTAACAGTATCGCAGCAGGTGTCGGGGAATCAGATTCACCCATTACACCCACGTGGTGAATGGAGGGAGGTGTGATAGGAATATGTTTCATACACTAAGCTTCTCCATGGCCGTTTGGGAACAATAGAAGGCCTTATGAATAAGAACAATTTATGTGTACACAGGGTTAGATTATTAATGAGGGTTATCAAGAATGAGTCTCACCTTATCACTAATGTGAGGAAACCATCTTCTCGAATCAAGGGAGTTAACTGACTACAAAGGCCCAGTTTCCATCCTTGCCGAAATTGGCAGAAATTGTGAAGTAATATTTTGGCTGGACTAATGAGTCAATCAAATCGCATAACGAAATCAACATCTGATTCGTAAATTGCCGTGCAGATTTCGGTTGACTGCAGGATTTGTAAAGCATGTATACTGCCAATCTGGCATCAACATATTTTCCAAATCGTTTCATGTTTTTAATCAAGGTATGATTTCATACACATCGCAAGCAAGACCTGTTTTATCATAATAAACATTGTGATAATCGATCAGATCGTCTTGACTGGGTGCCGCAATTTTGTTTGAAGCAAATGCAAGTGATATAAGAGGAGGAATCTGATTGGTCAATAGGAGGGATATAGAAGGGCATAACTCGTAATAGCCACTGGTGGCACTAGGATCGAGCCCAGAAATTCCAGCCTGGTTCGGCAAGGGTGGAAACTGGACTTTTACAGTTAGTTAACTACCTTGCCTCGGCAAGATGTGAGGAAAGAAATGGTTTGAAGAAGGAAATTGACCAGGAACAGCACAAGGCAACACCAGTCATTAAAGGGGCACTGATCTAACGGACTGGTTGTTGCCTTTGTTATTGTTTTTCCCCCGTGAGTACCCGGATGATACGCAACGCAACTGAGCGTGACCAGAGACTGGGGTACCGTCTGCAAGGACAGCTAAATAAACTTGGAGGCTGGAGGCAATACTTGTTTTACGCATTTTTGAACACTGATTGGTTAACTGTGATCTATAAAGATTTCGACAAAGGGCGCATGTAAATTCATTTCTTCAGCCTAAACAAACAGACAAAAAGAACAAGGGAGCTCATCGGATGTCGTCATTTGGAAATACCCCAGATGGTATAGTTTAATACTAAAAACAGTATCCATGCAGTGAAAGCATTTTCGGATTTCGGCTTGCGTCGATAATACGATTACTACTCCCTTGTTGTCATCCACGTTTTCTCGTATAACCCTACACTTGTGTATTTGACGTCATTCGCTTGGTGCTCAGTTAATGAATTTATTACAGGTACAATTAGTGGTAGCACCACTTATATTACCTGACAAAGGTTCCCATTTGGCATTTATTGTGTCTGGGGTAATTATTCAATCAAAATCCAGGTTTGAAGTGAGGTGAAATATGTGTTATGTAATATGCACGTGGCAGCCCAGCAAGAGATGAATGATCAGTTGAATTACTTTTTTTTGTAAATAAACGGATCGTTCCTAGTCATCAAAGGATTAACAGAAAATACGTTGATTGATTAATCACTGTTATCTTGCACAGTGGATATGTCAAGAGTGAGTGTTTACATGTCTAGGTTTACTAAAACAAAGGGAATACACTCATATCATGGCGCGAAGTGCCGATGTAAAAACAACATACTTTGTTCATAGGGTTAACTGATAATACGTTGATTGATTGATCATTGTTATCTATCACTCAATGGAATTTTTAGGAACCGTGGACGCTATGAAAATAGTTGTCACGTGGGCTTTCTCAGCCGACCATTGAGACTTGACACCTATGTAAAACACCTGAAACAATCCAAGCGATCAGTTGAGAAACGAACACGGGTTATAATATCCCGAAACGATATATATCTTTTAAAATATTTGATTGTTACTGAGACACGTGACATCGAATAAGTTTCTTTGTACGGCTGCAGACGAGTGGGATATTGTTCCTTTGTGTGGATATTCACGGATACATTCCTCGAACAAGGAAGCTGCCTAAAACGTATACACATAAATTTGGTAGGTTGTAATTATGATATCTGCATTTTGTTTTCCTTCATTTGAACCGATTCGTTCTTGTTTCTCTACGTCTTGGTTGGGAAATTCTTCAATGCGCGACAGACGTTGTTGTCACAGGTCTTTTCCTTTGTAAGCGTGTATATATTACCGTCAATTTGTAAAATGTGATTCTCTCAGGCAATTTATAAAATGTGTAAATATTTCAGTCATTTTGACTAAAAAATCTGTCCAGATTGATCAAGACGATCAAAAGGGCCTACAAACATCACAACAGATTAATATGTAGGATTAAAAGCCAAACAACTTAGAAATGTACTTTTCAACGTTACATTTTCAGTCTCTTGGTGATAACATTAAACATCAAAATGTTTGGAATTCGTTGTCATAATAATACAGATGGAAATGTTTTTCAGTCACTTTGTAAAATAACTGAATATTTAGACGTTTAATAAATTTGTTACACATTTGACAGTAAAAAAATATACACACTATAAAAAAAGCATATGCTCAGGTGAAATATATACTTTGTGTTGCAAGTCAAAATAGTGTAAACAAAAATCGCAAAATTACCAAGCAAGTGACTTATCAAAACTTCGTCACCATTACCGATGCTACTCACAAAGATACCTACATTTCCTTATTATCTCGAAAACTGTATTTCATTTTGTTGATCAATGTGACCATACACCCTTATTACTATCCATAAAAGTGACTAATGCGCTTACGAATGGCGCAGCAGAGGTCGCGAACTAGTCTAGATTTCTGCTATACATCCGGGTATTTACTGGGAAAAAACAATAACAAAGGCAACAACCAGTCCCGGGGAATTGAGTTAGATCAGTGCCCCTTTAATACTGCAGCAGTATCATGCTTCCATGTAAATGGATGAGTCTGGACCAGACAAACCAGTGATTGTAATCACAGCAACAGGCCACACAATCGGACAAATCACACATTGGAAAGTAGACCCAAAATGAATGTATGACAACCTATTTTTTACACAGTAACAGTGACGTTTCAGCATTGGTCCTTATTCCGTTGTCAAGCACTATATATTGTGGTGAAGGATTAACAGTAACAACAATTATCATTCGTTAGAGGGATAACATGGGAATGTTAACTAATAATGACAGAAGGAAATAGATGATGGACATCTGTCAAATGCCTATCAAAAAATTCCCACATTGTAGCAACTACCAGACTCTCATTTAAGAGGGCTTTAATGACAAGCAGGAAGTACTTGTAGGATATTCTGACCTGGCCTACCCACAGCATCAGGGATGCTAGGAGTGAGTGAGTGAGTGAGTGAGTGAGTGAGTGAGTGAGTGAGTGAGTGAGTGAGTGAGTGAGTGAGTGAGTGAGTGAGTGAGTGAGTGAGTGAGTGAGTGAGTGAGTGAGTGAGTGAGTGAGTGAGTGAGTGAGTGAGTGAGTGAGTGAGTGAGTGAGTGAGTGAGTATGGTTTTACGCCGCATTTAGCAATATTCCAGCAATATCACGGCAGGGGACACCAGAAATGGGCTTCACACATTGTACCCATGTCGGGAATCGAAACCCAGGTCTTGGGCGTGACGAGCACACACAAACCATTAGGCTACGCGACCGCCCCCCAGGGATGCTTGGATATTAGACACCAAGATCCGGGGTAGAATAGATCTTTAGCAACCCATGCTTGC